TTGATAGGCCAATTTTGAAAAAAGTTATAGTCATAAGTGTAAAAGCAGAATCTCTGCCAAATCTCTGTCCGTAGCTGCTGTTTTTGTTGTTGTTGTTGCTGTGGCTTAACTCTCTACTACATATGTACAATTCCGTTGTAAATGTGCAGACATACATATACCCTTTAAAACAATGTATAATCAATCAACAACAATGTGTTTTATTAAAATTTCGTTTGTTTTTTCTTCCAATATTGTTTATTTTTTTTAATTTTTTCATTTTTCCCGCATAGTTTTAAAGCCAATATTAAATCATTCATATTTTATTTTTTATCAATGTAAAACTTTATTGTACTGCTGGTATTTACAATAACTTACATTAAACTTATAGAAAAATACAAATACAGCTAAACTAGGAGTTTCGTTTTATTTAATTATTTATACTTTACTTTATTTATACTTGTATATAAATCTTTATATCATTCATAAGATGAATAGCACGTGTGTTCTTTGTTGTTGTCTAGAAAAGTGATAAGGACGGGCCTTTTTCGAAATCTATTTCCGTTTTTAAATTTAAAGAAATATCAAGCACTCTCGACCTTTAATCGATGAGAACATATGTATCAGAGAACACATATATCAAGAGTCTTATCACAAATCACAAATCTACGCATAGCCCCTTTCGCAGGTGGTGCTTAGACAAAAATATTCGACTTTGAGACGCGATGTGGTAAAAAAATGTAGGAGCACTACAAGTATGTCCAGTTAAAATTTGCTCAAACTTCTTCATTGCATTATTAATACGCACACATGTTTATTTCTCATATACTTGTACATATTTATGAACTTTTTTAATTAAAATTGTTACCTCCACGTACATATGTATGTATGTATGTATGTATGTATGTACGAGTATAGTATAGTATAGTATAGTATACGAGACATACCAATGTTTGTATGTTTTTGTATTTATTGCGAATGCTTCGTTATTTTTTGTTTCGGTTTTTATTTTTGTTTTTGTACAGTTGAAGGTTTTCCAAGGTTTTCACGTTTTATTGTACATTATCAGCCAGTTGTGCGTTGCGTCGGCAACAATTTCAAGGTTCGCTTGAAACAAAAACAGCAACAAAAATAAGTATATGATATCAACTGTATGCGTCTTCTGTTGGCCTGGCCAAAATAGAACGAAAACGGTTTCTAAATCATTTCTGTACCTGGACGGCAGAGTCGTGGGGATTCGTTGCCTCAACGTGTTGCTCTTGGCCTCTTGCCGGCAACCAATTTTTTAGTATTCGGCAAAACAAATAGTTTCTGTTTACGCAAATTTTTGGTCTGCTAGACTCGCCGGCAACTGCGCGTGCTTAGTTTTTTCGTACTATTTTGAACCGGCGCACAGCTTCGAGGAGGCGTGTGAGGTGTGCCTGCGGTAGCATGAAATTTTTATGTTGATATGAAAACAACAGCAATGAACAATGCTACATTGCTACAATGCTATATCAACAGAAATACACTCGCATGCCGGGGCATGAGCAGGGGTAGGGGCGGGGGCCGAAGCCTCGTGCATACGTGAAACAACAATTAGCATTCAAGGTTAACCAGAAATAATCGTAAAACGAGCGACGCGCGACGCACGACGCGTTGACAACAGAGGCTCGCCATACAGCCAAGATACAGATACAGATACCGAGCAATTGTTTTACCTTCTGGCCATAGCTTCTCACTAACCAAAGCAGCAACAACCGGTTGATCGTGCACTAAGCATATCGAGCAAAAGCATAAACTTATTTAGTGAAGCGGCCAAGTAAATATTCAACTGGCTGACTGACAGAGCTCCAAAGTTTTATCCAAAATAACTTTTAGTTTTCTTATTTCTTTAAAATCCATTGTGGAAGCGACGTTCACGAATATGAGCGGAATTTGTTGTAAAATTTTTCACGATTCTACGTTCTATATGCTAAAGTGGTGTCCATAAGTGATAGTAGATGTAAAATATAAACTGTATCACAGTTAATTACTATATTATTACTATATTACTACATACATATATTACTATATTACTACATACATATATTACTATATTACTATATTACTACATATATTACTATATTACTTTATTAGAAAGTATTCATAATAGAGAACAAATTCTGCAATTCTTTCAATACTCTCTACCGAAAGGATGACTCATCGAAACGTGTGTTTCTCTCTTATTTTAAATATTAACTCTCCGAAAGTTGTTTATAAATATTTTCGCATGAGTAATGGCGCGACTCATGGTTCACATACCCATCTCATTAAAAGCTATGAAACGCATTTCTCAACGGGCATGGATATGTCGTCTAATGGACTCTACAATACATTACAAATATCTTAAAAAGTTTTCTCATTTTTAAAACATACTGCTTATATCCTGTACGCAAAGGGTAAAGGGGTATACTAGTTTTCTGTTTAAACATTGCAGAATTTAAACAAAGTTTGTGCTAAAAAGATCTATAGTTCGTTTAATTGATGTTGTGGGCTTGACGTCATATCTGTGTTTAATCAACTGGTCCACAGCCTGCAACACTATTAATATGTTAATGTTGTTTCTCATTTATATACATACATATGTACAAGTATACATAACTATATTCTCTATTTACACTGGAGAGCTGATACACATTAATATATTAAATGTAATTTTTATTTTTATTAACAGCAGTTTCACAAAAAAAGCAAAAACACGCATAAGAGTTTCTTCACTTTGTGGCTAAAGCTTAATCTACTCCCTAATTACTTACTTCCTCATATAATAATAGTTTTTTTTTGTTTTTAATGATATGTTGTTTTTTGTTTTCTGTTTCGCGTTCTTCCTGCTTTTCTTTGTATTCATGTTGAATGGCACCAAGAAGTTCAACGAACCCGGACCAACGCTCTTGCCAGCTAGAAATATGAGGAACAAGTTGTTCTCCAGACACTGCTGGGCCCCTGTGCCCTTGCCACAACATGATTTCCTAGCTACTATGTGCTGGCTGTTATGAGTTATGGCTTAAGTGTCTGGCCAGTCAGGCCCTCACAAAAGTCACTTTCGATTTTTAAATGTACTAGGAAGTTTTTATAATTTCGAACAGGCGTACAGCGATCCGCAGCAAAGGGCCCCACTCAAAAGAGCTCCAACATACACACTTCATATACATATATTTATGTACATAAGTATAAGTATAATTTTCAACCGACGCCACCGATCTTTCCAGGGCTACTGTTGTCTCTTTCATTCGCTTGTGTGTGTGTGTGTGTGTGTGTGTGTGTAACGATCTCGCATTTAACAGTTTCTCTGGGTTTTTTTGAACTTGCGCTGCCTTTCATGGTCGCAGCAAAGCTGTGACCTCGTTTTTATTTTTTGGTACAAATTTCTCTTTGCTGCGTCTGTTTACAAAATACATACAAACATATATCGTGCTGAGTACAGTGATACTTCTTATAATGCTGCTTCCGAAATAACAGCCAAAGATAATAAACAATTGATTCTTGACTCTTTCCAACGACTTTGCAAATCAAAAAACAAATCCATTTCAGTCTATCGAGAGTATTTACCTTTTTAGTACCAAAAAGTTAATACGAAGTATTTTTTTTTTTAACGGCTATCCGCTTGGGCTTTACATCCTGCATTTGGAATAAACTGCCCTCCTTCGAATGGTAATAGGCGAAGGCGACGGCCCAGTAGGAATGTAATTAAGCTTTCTGATCTAATAAGTATAGCGAGTATAGTTCAAAATCTATGTTTTCCAAACTTCGCTTCCATTTCATACGACAATGTGATGCATTTAAATGGGCGATTTGTATAGTTAGTACAATAGTATGTTATTATTTCCTTAAATTATAATTAAATTCATTACATAAATTTGTTTGTCACCATTCTCGATTTGTTGAAAAATGAATTTGCATTTGACCAAAATTGCCATTGAAGTGAACTTAACGACTCCTTCGACAAGAGACTAACTTTTTAAAGAACAATGATATTATGAATCAATGAAGATTAAGGTTTTTTAATTATACATACGACGATGATTGTTAAATCGCATAACAAATGTGGCATCAAGGCAAGGTAACGAGCATATCGAATGCTGGGGAGAAAGGAGCAGAAAGGTGGCTCAAAACTCTACTAAAAATTTTTATTTAAGCTTAATTTAGAAATAATTAAGCTTCCAGCATAATTAGGTTTCTAGCTTGATCTTGAAACAGGGGGCGGTAGAAAGCAGACTTAAAGGCTATCATATTAAACCTTTAATTTATAAATAAATTGACCAAAATAGACGTGTAGTAAGCAGCAGCACTTAACATACATATGAAGTATAGTATTCCTATTTGACGACCTTTCTCTATCAAAATGTTGAACTTCAAATCTATAGTATACACGTATTATGTATGTAACATTTTATGGATGTATATTTAAATTTCCATTTATTCACATTTCTTAAAAAACATTATGAATTAACAAGTGAGGTAAGGATATCTTAATGTTAAGAGTACAGACAGCTTAGCCTTTATACTAAATTGTACAAAATTGAGAAATGAAAATGGTTAACAACAATCGACAGTGTAAAGCGGGAAAACTTAAACAAAAAAAGTTTATAGTTTAACAATATTAACAATTTCTCCTTTTACACTGCGGGCTTAATATCTATTTTTATTCGTGTTGGATAGCATGCGCAAATGCAGCTTTTAGTTTGTATTTAAAATGTTTAACCTCCATACAAATTAAACCTATAATCGTTAATCTCGTGTCTGCCATAACTAGCTTTTGTCTGGAGTTGGGAAATCGAGTGTAAGCGCCATTGTCATAATTAAAACGCAATAACGCGTCAGTTTTAAGCCCAGAAGCGACATTCGCTTTTACTTACGAGGTATAAGTACCTTGCTCCCATGTAGCTTAACTTAGCTACATACTTATGTACATATATATCTCATCGCTGTCTCTCTCTCTCTCTCTGTCTCTCTCTTTTTCTCATTGTCTTTCTCTGCCCCCGAACACGCCTTCTTTACAGAGCTCGCTGTGGCTTTGCGAAATGTCAACGTGCGCATTCCATCGGCTGTGAAACGTGGCGATAATGCGCTCTTAATCTGCAATTATGACATCGAGAACGATACGCTCTATGCGGTGAAGTGGTATCGGGGACGCCGGGAGTTCTACAGGTATACGCCCAAGGAGAATCCGGCCTGGAAAATATTTACGAAAACCAATGAAATCGACGTCGAGGTGAGTGCTCGCATAATGTTCATGAATATTGTTTAATGTTGCTATGATGAGGCGCATGTTGTTTTTGTTGCTGTTGCTGTTGTTGTTGTTGTTGTTGTTGGTGGCATTAACGGCAGTAACAGCAACAACAATTACCGCAAACACAAGTGTAAACCACTCGTCGCATATCATACGAGTATGCGAGTGCGTGTGTGTTGGTGTTGGGGTTGTGGGTGTGGGTGTGCGTGTTTGTATCAATGTTTATTTTATGCATGTTAAAAAGTTTTAATTAACAATTTTGACTTTTCACTTGGGCCGCCTACTGCTGCTGTTGCTGCTGTTGCTGCTGCTGCTGCTTTCACTGCACTTCCAGTGGCTGTCGCGCATTCGATGTTGACTTTTGCTGACATTATGCATAAATAAAAAATAAAAAACGACACACTTCGTTTCAGCTGCAATGCAAAATTTGTTTAACTTTTTGCCTGGCAGGCCGCAGTTTAATTTTCTCAATTTTACTTGACATTCACGCAATCATGCATTGATAATGCACACAAATACGAGAGTGTAAGCACATACGAACATGTATGTACATAGTATACTTATATACAAGCAGCATGTTTGTATACAGTCATACACGATATATTGTATGCCTACATATGGGTCTTATGTACATAAGTGTCTGTTAAGCGCTATATCGTATATGCGCGCTGAAAATTAATGCCGCGTAATTATTAAGAACAATGCGTTTGATGATGGACATTGTTAATGTTAATGGATTGCGGTGCAAGTTCGCGCTCGCTGAGCAACACTGAACCGAAAACCAGAAACATTTCAAAAAGTTCGAAATGCAAAACAAATATTAATGCAATTACCTTTGCTGCAACAGCAACAATTAAAGCCGAGTGCGAAGTCAAATTTAAAATGAAGGTAGAAAAGTCAGCTTTCTTTACATTCACATTCTTTAAATTACTCACATCTTAAAAAAAAGGCTTATTAATTAAATGTTCATTTATTCAGCCAAACCAATAGAGTGAAAGATCTAAGACATAGTCTTCTACTCAGAGTAACAGAAATGCATAGGCCTTTCAAAAAATATGGGCTTCTCAATTAAATATTCAATTATGAGGGACATAAAACAATGACATACGCTTTTTTTGAAGTAAAGGACTGAGTCTAAGACTGATTTTTTAATAATGTGCGTGAATAGTGATCTTAACTTGTAAAATAAAGAAATAGAAATGCAGACTTAAAATTGTAAAATAGCTAGTAAATGTCAAAATAATGTTATTCAGATCTTTCAAAAAATATGGGCCTTTAAATTAAATGTTTATTTATCCATCCAGAGAGGGGACCTAGGACAAGGACATACGCTTCTTTTGTAATGAAGGACCTAGTTTAATACAGATTTTGAAAGAATGTGTCCGAATTGCGATCTTAACTGGTAAAATAAAGAAATAGAAATGCAGGCTTAAAATCTTAAAATAGCTAGTAAATGTCAACATTATACAACTATTATTCACATCTTTCAAAAATAATCGGCTATTTAATTAAATGTTCATTTATTCATCCAAACTAATAGAGTGAGAGATCTAGAGAAGGACTTAATGTAATATTGATATTTAAAGAATGTGTGTGAATTGCGATCTGAATTTGTAAAATAAAGAAAACAGCTAGTAAATGTGGAAACTATATTATTCAGATCTCTCAAAAATTATCGTCTTTTTAATTAAATGTTCATTTATTCATTCAAGTCGATAGAGTAAGGGAGCTAAGATAATGAAGGACTTAGTTGAATACAGATTTTTAACGAATGTTTGCGAATGGCGATCTAAGCTTGTATAATAAAGAAGTAGAAAAGCAGACTTAAAAGCTCAAAACTGCAGCTAAATGCCAAAGTATGTACGTATTGTTAAACAAACACAATTTGTAACTACCAGCATCTTATAATGAATTGAAAAACGAGCACACAAGGCACAATACTATATATTTAATTCTGCTGTTTGAATATATTAGTCATTTACCAAAAAATAGCTCAACTGCTACATCTTTAATGCATGAATTTTGAATGTTTTAATGACAAAGAAGTAGAAAGTCAAGCCTTCAAGGAGAGTCAACTTTTGTTTGCAGCTCGAAATCAAGCTTTTGGGTTCAAATCAAAAATTTCTTTTCGTTGCTATCGTGCTGGCATAAGCACAGCAATTGATATGATGCAGGGAGATAATGTGTTTCTAGGCAGTCCTGTGCTTCAAATTAAAATTGTTCAGTTCTTTAACCGGAAGAGTTATGTATAGTTAATGCCACAGCTAGAAATGTGTGTCATGCTCTAAAACTATGGTGTTTCAATTGAAGCTGCTTGCAAATAAGTGGTGTATACTTTTAGGCTGCACTTAATACTAACACGAAATGTGCTTACGTTTTTGGCATTCACTTGCAGACCACTAAATCGAATGCCAGCCACGTGCTGCTGCGAAACGTTCCCACCTCAATATCTGGTAAATTCGCCTGTGAAGTGTCCGCTGACGCCCCCACATTTGACACATCGATTGTGGCTGCCGATATGGAAGTTGTGGGTGAGTAACGAATGCCGCCGCCGACGCCGCCGTGGCATGCAAATAGTGACTGACATCGCATTTCATTCGAATAGAGCTGCCCACTCAACGTCCAATCATAACGGGCATTCATTCGCGTTATCGCCTCGGCGATGTTATTAATGGCAACTGCTCATCGGACTATTCAAAACCGGCCGCCAATCTAACCTGGTGGATCAATGACATACAGGTAAGGGTATGTCAATATGGAATAATTCCGAAACTCACCTGGCTGAAGTTTTTAAGAGATTGTATTCCTTTTTACTATAATTTGTTGATCACTTTATCCATATATAATTGCTTAATAATAATTTTGTTGCAGTTCTTTTAGAAACCGTTTTCAAGTATATGTTTATATTTCATTTGTTGTCAGGTACCTCCAAACTTTTTGCGCGTCTATGACATACAACGCCACGTTGCTGAACACCTCGAGTCGTCTGTCTTGGAACTGAACTTTGTTGTAACTCTGCACCATTTCATCAAGGGGCGTTTAAAGGTAAATATATGCTGATTCGCCACCCAGATGCATTTGGAAGCCTTAACTTCATTGCATTGCAGCTGAAATGTTCTGCACGCATACACGATATTTATGCGCAGGAGAGCGAGAAGCTAATTGAAGAGGATCGTCCACGCATTCTGGCTTCGGGTCGCTCGCCCGATATGAATATGTATCCATTCGATCAGCCTGGGGATGCTGATGAGCATAACGAGCTCTTCTTGACGCATAAAAGTGAGTATTAAAAAGGCCTAATGATTATTTAATTGTTGACATTAATGAGCTGGAAAAAATTTCAAAATTAATGAATCTGCAGATATATTTTTAGATTAGTGCTAAAGAGACAAATATTTCAGAAAATCTCCTCCCAGTGAGTTTTTACATACAAGTATAGAAGGCTTTAATCGCATTTAGGCCAATGCTAAACGGGCAGCTCGTAACGATGGCAAAATGCTGATTCAATGCGGTACTCCAATGTGCCTCTGCTTCGAACAAAGTGTGTTATTTTCTTGTCTTTTTCTAATGACACCTTTGCTGGAGCGCCCTGCTAAATGGGGAATGTTGTTGAGGCCGTACAATCGACACCATTACAATGATAAATTAAAGAGCATTGAATTAAGCTTAGGGAAACAAACTGATTGCTGTGATTCGTCTTTGCCAAATTCAAGTCATTGCTCGTTTGCTTATTTGGATGAGTTTGTTTCAGGCAGACAGGGCCGAGAGATAAACTATTCCATTAAAGTATAGGAAAAGGGACCTGGCCAGTTTATTTGCGGGATTTCTTCTTGTAATTCATGCGGTTCATATGAAAATAAAATAAATGAAAATCATCATTAAATTGTGTCTAAAAATAATTGTAATTCAAAATAATTTAAAGAAGATGATTTTTAAATTACAATTCAAGTAATTATTTTTGAAATATGATAATGACTTCAATTATTCGGAAAGCGTTGTTTAATTAGGAAGCAAGAAATTGTTTTAGAATTTAAATTGGAGTGATTGGTTATTCTCTGTATGAGAAAAATTTGATTGAATAGTCTAATAATTATATAGAAAATATATTTCATCCGAAAACATAAAGAAATCTCGTTATTAGGCAATCAGAAGGACCCACTGTGCGCTAATACTGATAAGAACAAAGATTATTAGCTGCCCAGCCAAACTGCACATGGGTTGGGCAACGATTTATTAATGCTGTGAGCGCCAGGTTACAAGCAATTAATTCAAAGATTAATTTGACCAGCGGGGGCTCTCTGAGTAAACCCAACACCTTCTCAGCCCCACACTCACTTTCTCACATATGCTTTCTCTCTATTGTACTCGCGCCACTGCAGACGCTGATTCCTCGGCCCCCAGCATACTGTCGATAGCGAAGTTGAATTCGATATTGGCCCTACATCTGTGCACCTTTCTTATTGTGCTAAGGTTAATGGGACCGGATGGCCGGGTAAATGCTTCACAGCGCCATTGTGTGAGAACTAAGCGTCTTAAGGGTGTGCACAGCAAAGAGCTGAGGAGTCTGTGGCCGAGCACCCCACGAAGTAACTGCTTCTGTAAGGATTATGATGAAGGACAATCTGTGAGTGTACGGTGATGAGCTGATTGGGACGGGACGCGAGATTCAGACTTCATTGGCAATGGAAAGAGATGAGCTCATTATAATAATTATTACAGCAACTATAAAGGCATATACAAGCATATATACATACTATATATATAGTGAAAATCAATTAGGAAATTGTCATAATGAATGTTTGTTAAGTGTCATAGACAGCCATCTCCCTTGCCCGTACGTATATGGCTTTGTGAAATAGGCATGCCGACACATGAGCACCAAATACATATATGTATATACATACATATACAAGTATATATGGTACTTTGATGATATACCAACGAACGAATATGGAGTCTTTCTTGTTTCGTCTATTTTTTGGTAAGCCACTGTATTCATTGAGCCGACTAATAATGAAGTGTTCAGTTTCTTAATAGTGTTGAGAGAAAAGATAATGTTATCAGAAACAATATTTAACAATAGTTATAAAATTAGTTGAATTCCAGGCAGATAATTGTGGAGCCAAAAAGGTCAGAGTACCTCATGCATTCCAAATATTTCCATGTATATACAAAGTTATACATTTATGTGGATCATTTTGCTTATAGCTCTATATCTCTCGCTTACTCAATATTATGATAATATTCCAAAAAAAAAAAATATATATATATGCTAGTTTACAAAGGCACATGTTTTTAACATTCAAATCAATTGCTAAGTTTTAAGTTTCTAAACGAGAACTCACAAAGAAGCCTTAAAACTTTAGGAACATCTACAAAACAGGGTCTGCATACAAATCAGAGCAATCTATTTACGCATAGATTCTAATATCCAAAACAAAAAGTTCAAAAAAATATACACATATATTCACAAATTGGAATGTCATGTTGGGAAAAGTGTGTTTTATCTGCACATTACTATTTCACAAAGCTATATACATATATACTAGTATCACAAAGTACATACCTACCTAATTGTATGCTAAGAACTGTAAAGACGAAATTACTTGACCGTAACCGTAACTGTAATTGCATCTGAATCTGTATCTGTATCTATGTATTAGCAGCAACATAACATATTTGTAACTACATAAGTCGAATGTAAATAAACATTAAGCATCTACTAAACGTAAGCTAAGCATCACTCGTACATACATATACTATACATTTATATATAAATTGAAATTGGCGTACGATTCAGAACCTTTTTAAGTCCCTGTTACTCTTTGAGTGTAAAACTTTTCTGTTTCAATTTCAGTTCTCAACTCTCACATTTTTAATGGAAAGTGTCTGTAATTTGTGCAAGCCAAATAAAAGTTGTTTTATTTGAACCGAAAACTGATCTTTGTTCTTTTATATAACGGAAATAGTGATATATATAAGTTTAAAGAGTGTATGAGTAGGCATTTAAAGGTATTTGTTTTTTATTTGAAATACTGCAACTGTTATACAAATTGAATATTGAATTGAACAGAATAGAGAGTTTGCAGAACAAAATTATAATATAATATATTTTGAAGGTTAATTATCCTCCAGCAGGGTGTGGTAAGCCATCCGGAATTACAGCCGCTGCAAATGTCCTTCAAGATGATTTGCACCTCAAAATCAAACTAGAATATAATGGCGGAGGACTTCATGGTCTATAGGAACCATCCACCCGGCGTGACGGACCCCAGCGAACTGTGATCCTTAAATTGGAGATTTTGAAAATACTAAAAGCTTCTCTGGAATTTCTGTAACATTGGCGTTTGTATAAAACAGTTCATAATTTTAAAAAAACTCTATAAATATTTAAAAAAGCGGTTCAATTTTTGTTGAAGTAATTGTTCAATATAAACGATACTTGTAATAAAATATATTCTTATATTTACTTGTTTACATATTTCAAATTGTATATTACAGCCTGTCCTGCAAGCCATGCCCCGATTGACAGCCGTGTGTGGTCGCGGCTCCGGAGATAACTCAAAAGAGTATGATATTTCGTCGCCAAGGACGAATCCTGCGATTAGCCAACGGCAGAATCAATCATCCGAGCCGAAGTCGGCTTGATTAGAATGGTAAAACGAAGGAATTGCTTATATTATAATAAAAGTAAAATTAATTATAATAATAATAATAATAATAATAATAAAATGTATATGTATGTATTTATTTATATGTATATGTATTCATGATAATGGATGTCCTTTTGAAGTTCCGCCCGCACGCCAAATGAGAAAAGTGAAAATGGCAAACGAAAGTTTAAGCCTTCGTGGCTTAAACGAAAAAATTGATTATAAGTATTATAATAATAATAAAATGTATAATAATAATATATTGATGTCCTTTTTGTCCTTTTTTGTGTATATTTTATTTCCTATCTTTAATTTGTTCTATGTGTGTATTAAATTTACATTAATAATAATTGCCGATTTCTTAAATTTGTAAATAAAAGGAAAGAGAATGAATTTTTAATGAATTTGTTATTATTGCAGTTGGTTAGGGGGGGTGAAGAGGGTGGTTATACGAAGTACCCACATGGCCGACTCATAGGTAAACAAAATTCAGTTTGACCGATGGCCAAATTGGCCTGCGTTTGCTAACAGCCAAAATCTGAAGTACCAGGCGAACAGAAAGCAGCAGCAAGATGAATTCTTTTTTAAAGTTAAAAATTAAATTCGACCGCCTAGAAGATGCCACACTTTTCTTAATGTTAGCCGATCTTCGCACCTTTTAGCAGCTGGGACTCAAACCCGGTTGCCAAATAGGTTTGAGCCCCAGCTGCTAAATGGTTTGAAGCCTGGCTCACATTTATTTTACATTTTTTAAAGAATCGTCTTGCTGCTGCATTATGTTCGCCTAGTACGTAGCAAAGATGCCAGTTTGCAAACTAAGTTCTGGGCGGCTGCGACTTTCCTAAAATTTATAAAATCGCCTGCAAAAGCTAAAATCCAAAATCTGAAGTACCAGGCGAACATAAACCAGCAGCAAGATGATTTTTTTTTTAAATTCTAAATTAAATTCGGTCGCCTAAAAGATGATGCACTCTTCCTAATGTTAGCCAATCTTCACACCTTTTAGCAGCTGGGGCTCAAACCTATTTGGCAACCGGGTTTGAGCCCCAGCTGCTAAATGGTTTGAAGCCTGGCTCACATTTATTTTACATTTTTTAAAGAATCGTCTTGCTGCTGCATTATGTTCGCCTAGTACGTAGCAAAGATGCCAGTTTGCAAACTAAGTTCTGGGCGGCTGCGACTTTCCTAAAATTTATAAAATCGCCTGCAAAAGCTAAAATCCAAAATCTGAAGTACCAGGCAAACATAAACCAGCAGGAAGATGATTTTTTTTTATATTTAAAATTAAACTCGGACGCCTAAAAGATGCTACACTAGCCGATCTTAACACCTTTTAGCAACTGGGGCTCAAACCAATTCGGCCAATTTAACCAGGTTTCAAACCATTTTGCAGCCGGTCTTCAAACCAATTTTTAAATTAATAATTTAATTGTGCCCCTGTATGATATGCTACACTATTTTAACGGCAGCAGGTTTCAAACCGGGTTCCAAGCCAATTAATTATTAAATAAATAAATAAGTTGCAGCGGTACAACTAGATACAAATGCAAATAAAAAAGGACACTTTTTAGGACTTGCTGCTGATTTATGTTTGCCTGAAGTTGAAGGATTTCTAAAGGATTAGGTTCTGCTTCCTGCAGCAAATGAGAAACGTTGTTAGATTTTAAAAGGTGTTTTATTTTAAATTAATAAAACAGTATAAATTATTTTACCTATGGTAAGTGACAATTTTAAGGATAAAGGATAAACACAGCTCCTTTTACAAGAAGACGAACAGGAACACTAGCATGTTATTATAATAATATCAATAAATTTCTTATTTGTTTACAATTTAAAATAACAATTAATTTTGTAGTTACGTATTTTATAATAAAAGTAATAATTAATTTCTTATTACTTAAAACTTATTTAATTAAATAATTAATTAATTATTTATATACATCAATAAACTTCTTATTTGTATACAAACTAAAATAACAATTAATTAGACATTTACATATAACTTAAAACTTATTTAATTATTTATTTAATTAATAGAAATTTATTTTTGGAGCATCATTGCAAGACACTTAGTGTGTAGCTGATAAACAAGGATAAGAACAGCATAGCAGTTATCCTTGAGGTGCGCGCAGCTGCGTAAGTGCTCCTATCTCGTTCCCTTCTGAAACTGCGACCCATTCTCTATACCCTCTTCACTTACGATACGCCCAGTGGCTCTACGATCCCCATTGAAGATACAAAGGCCGTGCTCATCTCAACATACGCAGATGACAAGGACATCGTGGCCAGAAACAAGTGCTTATAGAAATGCACAGATTTAGAGCGGGAGTGCCTGCAGGGCTTCGAAATGCGGGCAAAGCGCTAGCACATTGGCATTAATCCAATAAATGCTTCAACGCGACGCATTGTGTATGAAACTATGTCCTTAGATTTGTATGCACTATAAGTATATAAAATTAATCAGTTAATTTCATAAGCTTATTTTTAAATAGAAGCTGTACAATTAATTAATAATAAAATGGTTCTTAAAAAAATACTATATTCCACTATTGCTTTTAATTTGTATAGCTCTAGGAGTTTTGTATTTAAGTGTACCCTGTATTACCCTGTATATTAGGTTTGTGCAAAGTATAGTATGTAACAAGCAGAAGGAAACACCTAAGACCCAATAAAGTATATTTATTCTTAAGCAGCATTATGCGTCTCATCATCGATCTAGACATGTCATTCCGTCTGCATCCATTATCCAAAGCTGAATTGGAAATCTTTGTTGTTCAATATTTCATTGATTTCGCTCTGATATTTAAAATGCATGGAAAATTATTAGCTGCCATTGTTCTAATCGAAGACTTCATTAATTTATTTTATTTTATTTATTTATTTATGTCAACAAACATTGACTGTCCACATAGGAGAAAAATATATATAAATTATAGAAGGCGTCTTTTAAGCTAGAAAAGTCTAAGAAGGAGAAATCTAATCAATTAACAATAATATCTAATTAATGTTTTGACAAACTGCCAAATATTGTCAGTGCTCTTTTATGTATCGAAAGGACTACTTGTTGATTTATTAAAAAAATAAGTAAATAAATAAGTAAATAAATTATTGGTATCTGTTACCACATACTTGTATAATCTGTATTGGAAGCTTGCAGAGTGGTCGTCAATTTGTAAAGTCTTTCAGAATTCTGACGGTGCGTTTAGTTTAGAATAAACAGCGAATATTTATTTGTATATTATTTTTATATACTTATATTGCAGCTTACGTTGGTAAAGCAAAATAAAAACACAGATAGATGCGCACACACAGACAGGCTCCGGCACTGACATTCCGATGTACTCGCACCCACACATTCGAGAATTACACGAAAAACAGCATAAATGTGAATGCTGCTGTCGGCAGGGCAACAAATAGCAAGCCCTTTTTTCTGTTCTGCCCTGTCCTGTCCTGCCCTGCCCTGCCGTGTCCTGTTCGGCCCATTCCAAACAAATCCCCTTTTCATATAAGGCAACATTTGCAGGGCTGCTGCAACGCTTTCCATTTCCATTGCATACTTTTTAGCGCGGCTCTGTTTGCAATTTCGCAGTTGAATGCATTTCTATGACTATCGCTGTCGCTGTGTGCGTGCGTGCTTGTGTGTGTGTGTGTGTGTGGAAGCATGTGGGAGTGTATGTGCACTTCTTGCTAAGCAGCTGCACCATGGGCGTGGCCATGCACTGTTGTAAATTTATGCCACAATTGTGTGGCAATGTGTGTGAGTGGCAAGAGGCAATTGCTTGAAAATGACTTTTGGCAAGCAGCGCGTGCAAAAAGCAACGACAGCAGACGCCCAGACTCCGGGACTCCTGGACTCCCGGACCCTCTGACTCCCGGACTCACGAGGTTGCCACCATGCCCGCCTAATGGACAATCGAAAACGCATTCAACTGGCAATTTGGCTTCACCCATTGGCGCCGACATCTCCACATCCTGCGCGTGCTCCTCCCTAGTATGTGGCAAATTGATTCCCCGACCCTCCCCGCATCAGGTGTCATCGTCATTAAGACGCAACTTGAACGCCTCTGCCTGAAAATATGTCAAAAACATGCAAATGTGCTGTTCTGCTGTTCTTCTGTCGCTATTTTTTTTTCTTTTGCTTTTGGTGTTTCCTCTGTTCTTCTCCTCTTTGTTTTTCTTGCTTTTTCCCCCTTTTTGAGTTGCATAAAAACATTTGTTAATTACTTTTCGCCGCACATTCTCAACTGTGTGCGTGTGCCTGCCAACGTAGCCGCAAAATTTTGTCTTGATTTTTTTTTTTGTTATTTAACATTTTTTGTGTTGCTGCCAAGTCAAGTGCACGAGTTGGGGCTCCATTTTTGGGGGCACATGGACGGCAGGCATTGTCAGGGCGTTGAAATTGAAATTAAGCAATTTAACTTTGACAATTACGATATAAAAACATCGGCGCTGAACATGAAAAGCAGACAAGCCAGCTCGATGGGTGACCGACCAAAAGCTCCTGCCGCTATTATTCCTCTTATTTCTCATTTATTCTGTTATGCTGTGCCCAAACGATTTTTGTTTTCCTTCTGAGTTCGTAATTGTCTACAACTTGCGTTAAGCGTCAGTTAAGTTATTGTGGTTTAATTCGTTACATGTTCACTATTTGTTGTTGAAAAAGGATGGAATGATGGAGTCGACAAATTAACAGAAAACAACTAAAATATTTGCTTAATGCATATATGTCTGTGCTCAGCTAAAAGCTGCTGTTTATTGTTTGCTTAGAGTCTGAACTGTACAAATAAGCGCGGATGCACACCTGATAAGGCGATAATCCAATTGAAAACATTCAACTACTATAAATGTCAAGAATGAGTTGAGGGAGAGTCGTTTTAAGTTCTTATAAATTTTGCTTGATTATTAAATAACTTCAAACTTAACACACTACAGAGATGCATGCAATTAAAGAACCCAACATTTACTATATTTATATTTTATATAGTTTAATTACTTGCCCATTAATCTTTACTCAATTGAGCATCTGTATATGTCCTTAATCCAAGCGGTTTAGTGCGAACGTATGTAACACCCAAAAAGGAATGTAATGTGCAATTCAAGTTATATGTTTCCTTGATCAAAATAAGCCGATATAGCCATGGCGTCCTGTCTGTACGATTGCTCCATAATCTGTAGAAAAGCAAGAGTTTCAGGAATTAAAATAGAATCACTATGCACTATGGGACCTAAAGAATTTATATATATTTGAGACGCAGGTATTGTATGTTTCTTAAATATAACAAATTGTTGTTTCATACTCTACGAATTACCGAACATTCGAAAAGAACTAAGAAAATAAAACTTGATATCCAGTATGATTATATCTATACACAAAACCATGTTTATCTATTTTGTATAAATATATATTTTTTTAGTTTATATATTTGTCATATCACTGAATTATAAACTTTTGAAAGGTGTATTGAAATGGGGCTCCTTTAGTACACGGCTGGTGCAACAAAGTAAAGGTAAATGGTTAGTGGGTTTAAAAAATTCTCGACATTAAGACTATACCAATTATTTTTTAATTTACTTAGACAAATGCTACCAAATATAATTCGGGATCTATGGGATCAACAGATATATGTAGAAGTATGTAACAACATATATATTAATATATACATCTATATAGCATGTATGCTACAATTTCCAATTGTTTTACTAACATAAGTTGAATCTAAGTTTGTATTTATTTATACAAATTTACATTCATTTAATTATTGTTATTTGTATACATGTGTAGAAAGTAGAAAGTTGGTGGGTCGCACGAATCTAACATTCTTGTTTGTAAAGTTCTATTTTCTTAAGTTTTAGTTAATTTTATTAATTTTTACAAATTTTTATTATTTAATTATTGTTATTTGTAACAGATTTGTAGAAACTTGGTACGACACAAGTATCCAACATTGTTTTTTTGTAAAGTATTATTATATTAAGAAATGTTTCTTTAAAATATTATTTATTTTTTTATTTATTTATTTTTACAAATTGACTTTTATTTAATTATTGTTTACACTTGTGTAGAAAATTTGTGGGACGCACGAATTCTACATTATTTTTTTAAGTTTTGCCATTGTTTGTTTTATTGGCGTTGAGATTTAAACATTTTAAGTCAATTGCGATGCCTTGAGTTCACTGTAAAATAAACACGTGCTTTGTGTGACGTCATGGCGTGTGTATATATTCATAAGAAGTGTGCGCTGCTTTGGAAAATGCTGTAAACACAATTGGAATTTTGCTTGTATATACTTGTATGTAGTACTCGTGTACACTACATACGTGTATTTATGTGCAAACCACCGGCAAAATGATCGAAAACAGAAGTATTTTAGAATTGTGGGCATATGCAAAAAATGCTCTACATACTTGTATGTAGACAAGATTAAGAATGAAGAATGAAGACATTGTTTAATCTTAAGGCATAAAACAATAATACTTTTAAAACTCAATTGAATCTTAAACAAATTTTGATAAACAATTTTTTTTTTAAATAACATAACGTTTTAAAATATTTTAGTCACAGATACTAGAAAACTTAATTTGAGTGAATTAGACACTTTCTAAAATTCTAAGAAGTCACAATAAAAGTAAATAGCAAAGAAACAACAAAGTATTATGCAAAAATTAATTTAAAATCAAATACACACATGTTGAACTATCTAAACCAATAGTCGTAGCGCACTCTGCATTCGGATTTGCGCAAGATAATGGCTGGTGAAGCTTTTCAAAAACTTTTTAAAAACTCTTCCAATTGTATACAAATTGTTTTCCATTTATAAATAGCAGCATTGAAAGCTGCCCGCGAATTCAGTGCGCATTTGTTAGCGGCAAAGAAACCAACTACTCGTATATTGCTTAAGACTTAGCTAATACGAAAAGTGGGCGTGGCAATGGAAATCAATTTTCACGGCATTGGATTAAGCTGTTTCCTGCTTCTGCTGCAGTTCCTCAATCGGATGGAAGGTAATTCAGGACTGAAGTATTTCAAAAATGCATTGTTAATATTATTGTTAATATTATAATCAATATTAATGCGATAAATCGTAGTAGCTTTTATTTATATCGAAAATCAATGGCAAATTAACAAACACTAATCGAAGAAGTTTAAAGATGTGCTTCTATATATTCATGCACAATCGACTGTGGTTTCAAATAAATACTATTAATTGATCTATTTGATTGATACAGCTGTTTTAGATTAGGATTTACCCATGTGTGTGCAGATATTAGTTTTGAAAATCAAATACTTCAGCGAATTGCTTTATATATAAAAGTATATAGAGCGCTGCTATATGGAGGATGCATGCATCAGTGTCTAATTTTTGTTTGGGCGCCAGAAATCATCCAAAACGGGTTCAATTGAGAACAATAATTGATAATAACTAGATATTCCAAATACAATTTCTAGCCGATGTATACAACAGCAGCATTTTAATCCTTCAACTTTAAGATGAAGTATTTTATTTGTATTTCAGCCACACATTTTAAAATCATCTGCAAAATATGAAATCAATATCGTCTATTGAGTTCATAAAAAAACTATCTAGTTGACATCACAAAGATTAAATGGATATTACGAGTATTTATATGCAAAGTTTTAAAGTAGTTTCTTGAATATTCTAGTTTTTGTAAGACTCTTCCTTCCCCCGCTGTTAACATGCAAGTTTTTGATCATCAACAGCTCGTCGTGGCTTGGGACCTGGGGAACAGGACTGGGGCTATGTGGAGGTACGCAAAGGCTCCCAGATGTTCTATTGGCTGCACTATACTACGGCCAATGTGAGTGCGTTTGCGGAGCGGCCGCTGGTGATCTGGCTGCAGGGCGGACCTGGGATTGCTTCGACGGGGACCGGTTGCTTTGAGCAGTTGGGCGCCATAGACATTGACGGGAAGAGTCGCGAGAGCAATTGGGTGCAGCATGTGAATGTGCTCTTCATTGACAGTCCTGTGGGCACAGGCTACAGTTATGTGGAGCCACATGGCCGCTATGTGGAGAATAATACGCAAATAGCTTTGGATCTGGTCACGTTTATGAAATCGTTTCTAATCCGCCACAAGAAGTTCGAGAGCGTACCATTGCACATATTCTCCGAGAGTTATGGTGGGAAAATGGCGCCCGAGTTCGCTCTGGAACTGCATTATGCGAAGGAGCGACACGAGCTCAGGTGCAATCTGCGCTCCGTGGTCGTTGGCAATCCCTGGACCTCGCCACTCGATACGACACTGGCCTATGCGCCCTATCTGCTGCAGCTGGGCATTGTGGATCAGGATGGTTATGCCAGCATAGCGGCTGTGGCAGCCGAGCTGGCTGCCTCCATCTATGCCGGCAAATGGCTGCATGCCATGGAACAAAGCTCAAAGATGCAGGAAGTCATTGCCACATATACTGGAGGCGTTTTCCTGTACAACACACAGCGGCCCGTGCGCCTCGACGACGACTATCGTTATGGCGAGGATCCTCAGTTGCGCGACTTTATGCTCAGCAATGTGACAGAGGCCCTGGGCTTGACGCATATGCCCGTTTGGATGGCTCAGAATGCCACGGTCTTCATCAAACTGGGCAGGGAAATACTGAAGCCAGCAGTCCACATAAGTAAGTTATGACTTAGAATTTAATTCGTTGCTCCTTGCAATTGCGAAGTGTGAAAATATAGCTCATGAATATTGCATTCTTAGACCATAAACTATTTTCAACTGTCTTTAAATAGATCAAAGAATTCTCTTTGTCGAAAACTTTCAACTAAAAGATTAGCTTAGAATGCAAAGATAAGTGATCTCAGCCAAGAACAAAGTTCTAGACAAATAATACAATTCCAATCTCCAATACGCAAGGCAGTATTTTGTGTGGAAAATATTGAAGCAATAGGAAAATTAAGCAAATTATGCATTATTTAAAAATGCTTTAAATAATGTGAAATTTCATTTCACAGTTCAAAGCAAAAGCCGCTCTATATCAGGCAAACACGTATGTAGACATAATCTGAACATAATGTCCAGCAAAGCGTATTTGAATTGAAGAGCTATGCAATAACCTTAACGTTCTAAATAAGATAGAATTATAGTTACATATATGATTAGTCGAGTCGAGTCGAAATCACGATTTCTTCGGTTTTCTGTCAATTCCCACACCTCTCACAGTTTTGGAGCTACTTTGCACCAAAACGATACGATTTTAAAAGGGGCTTTCTAAGGACAGCTTTTATGTTCATGAAAGAGAAAGGATTTTGGCTTCAAATTAGATATTGGAAAAGTTACTTGTAAGATGAAAGTGCTGACTAAATTGAGTAAAAAAGCAATTAAGTAAAAAAAATATGCACTCTAAAAAACTTTAGATAATCAATCAAGCAATCAAGTTCTAGTGAATTATCGTGGATGAAGAATGTGATTCCGGATAGGAATATATGAAACTTATTATATCTAACTCAACTGTTATTCTATTGCTTGCAGTCACAAAATTGCTCGACGAGACACAACTGCGTGTGGGCGTCTATTCGGGAATTTTGGACTTACTTTGCGCCACTCCCGGCACCGTGAACTGGATCAATCGCATGCAGTGGCGAAATAAGCACAAATATATGACAGCTCCTCGGCTGCCCTTTCGCATTAATGACGTGCTCGAGGGTTATCAGAAGGAGGGCGGCCGCTTCAGCATGTTCTGGGTCTATCGAGCAGGACATCTGGTGCAGCAGGACAACCCGGCAGCTATGGCCCATATTTTGCGCACAATTACCAACTTTGGCTGAGCTTTATCTGTTAACTGAGAGTTTTGAAAAACACACTTGACACTTAAATGCAGCTTTAAAAATATTCGCCAAAAAGTTGTGTTGGCTTGGGAATTAATTGAATATCGAATTCACTGAATTATTTGATTTTATAAATAATATCAGCAATTACAGTCATTATTTCTTGGTTTATTTTTACCAAATTCTTGGCACGCCATATAGATTATGGATTTTATTTTGTTCAGGAAGGCTAATTTCCATTGAATTTATGTTAGCAAACATATCCAAACATACATTATCGAAAGCTTATTCATGGTGTTTATCAATCGGAATAGTTATAGCATTTTTTAAGCGGAACTCTTGATAGAAACTTACTATGAAAAAACAGCATTCCGAGCAGAAACTAAAGTCCACAACTTCTTAAGTAAAACTAATTACAACATCAGAGTTTTTACAAAAGTCTTTTGCAAATTATTGGAATAGAAAATGGGGCACCAATTTATTATTTATTATTTTTTAACATAGCCCTGTTATTAGCTGTCATTCATTATTTTTTTCAAATTAAGACCCGCTTTATCTCTGGGCGGCAATGAATATAAAAATGTTACATGTAGTTGAAGCAATATTGTGGATGCATTTCAAATTAGCTTCAAATTCAAACTCTCATTAAAAACAACAGTACACTCATAGATAAATAGATGGTTCTACTTATATTTCTAAATATGAATATAATTTCATACATTTTGTTGCTTCAGGGCAAGAATTTCCTCCCTTTTTTGGCTTCATTTTATTTACTTCTTTTTCTTTTCTCTCGTATGAGAGAAAACTAATTTCCATTTTATTCTTGAACTAAGTCTTCCTTCACTTGCTTAATTTAAGTTCGGTATTATATTCTTTAGTCGAAAATAAGTGATTTATTTTCATTATATATTTTCCGTGCGCCTTTATCATCGTGAATTATTGATTATACTTGTATGAGGGTCAACCAGACAGCATTTTAAGCGATTTGCGTGCAGCGGCATTTTAAATATTTAATACGCAAACAGACAAACTGTTTTATAAATCTTAAAATGCTTCCGCTTCACAATAAATGGAGCAGAGCCATTCACACCAAAAATTGCCGAAACATGCTTACACATCACTATCTCCTTCAAGGTCACACACACACACACACACACACACACACACACACACACACACACACACACGCACACGGAGTCTTTAACCAGACAATTTTCTAACAATTTACCCAAAATTAACTGAAATTTTCGTTGGCAGTAGTTCGGTTGGTTAGCATGCGGTTCGCCCCAAAACACACACACATTTAGACACTCAGACACATACTCCGGCACTGCCCCCTCACCCGAACCGTGCCCATACATTTAAGGTCTGTTTGTGCTGCAGGCAGGTTGAAAATTTTACAGGTGCACCACATCAATTTATTTTTCACACAAAAGCCTATTAAAACCCATTAAGCCTATTAAAACCGCGCATCGGGAAGGCGTCGTGGTGGCGGTGGTAGAGGGGCGGGGAATGTTTGCCAAATGAAACCACTTAACCTTATTTTTGTGGTCAAAGAAAAATGAGCAGAGCCCAGGCGGAAAAGATGGTGATCGAAGCGGGCCGCAGCAAAACAAATTAATTAAAAACTTAAAAGTTTGCCTCAAGTAAAGAGCGTCGTCTCTCTAAGAATGACCAGGACGGATTGTCCAAGAACAGGAAATGCTGAAAATGCTGAAAATGCTGTGTTTGAGTTTTTGTGAAGCCTGCTTCTTGGAGTTGCAGAGCTGATTGTCAATTGATTTGGGTGGAGTTTCAGAAAGTGTTTAAACATTTGTGGGCAGTTACTTATTTAGGTCAAAGCGTATTCAGCATATTGAGAAAAACATTAATCATTATTGGTTTAACATTAATGCAAGATCAACTTTTTCGCTACCTTAATCAATGCACATAATATTAGTTGTCGAATAAAATTATTTGTGACGCATAGCTGTATACATATGAGTTGGAAAAAATTAATATCCACAAAGGAAATATAAATTTCAACACATACACTATACAAATATACTTCTGCTATAATTTCAACGATTGCCTGGGAAACTCGAAATATTGAATTGTTTTTCTTTCAACTTAGTCGAAAAAAAATTGCTTATCACACACGACTTATATATTTTTCTTCTCAGCAATTAAAAAATTAAAGGATCCACAGAATCTTTATTTGTTTATTTATCTGTGATCTAAAGACAAAGCAGCACAAATTAACTGAGAGATCTTGAAGGGTTTATAATGAGAGCATATCTGTAATCTATTGTCTCGCAAATGATTGAAAAATAAATAAATAAATAATTATTTTGCTAAAATGAAACTGAACCTTGCAGTGGATTTGAAAACCTAATAAACAGATATTTTTGTTGACTATACTTTATTCTTTTTCATTATTTATCTCCTTGGCTTTGAACAGCATAACAACGTAACAACAAAAAGACAGTTTAATAATGAATTTTCTTTTTTCACGTAATTTCCTGTGAGTTTCGGAGAATAAAGGAGCAGCCTGATAGCCAGCTAGAAGTAATTATTAATTAATTTACTTTAATTGACATAAGAGACGAATGGAAGAATAGTTCGGAACAAAAAGTTCATTTCTTTCAAAAATATTTGCAACTTTGTTGTTCAATTGATTCTAGACTGAAAATTATATTTCGTTTTACGATCTGGCTATGAATTTAATTATAAAAGATACGACAAACACCTTGAAAACGCACTTTACAATTTTAGTTTCCTCTGCGATGATCACAAATGCAAATTTTTTACTTTTTGCGAAAAGAGAAGAAATGGTTTTCATCAAGCTTCGCACTTTGTACACTCTTCGAGATCGATTTGGTAGAAAATATGAGAAAAGTGAATTAGGCCTATTTTAATGGCCAAGTTCAAATGGAAAGCTAATAACAATATTGTTATATTATTTGAAATTAAATTCTGATTAACTTTTATTCCAATATAGTAGATATTAATAGGAAATTAGACAAGCTGCTTGCTGCTGCTTTAGTAAAAAATATGAGAAAACTGAATGAAGCCTATTCCAACACTCAAGTTCAAATGGAAAATTAATAACTAAAATAATTTGAAATTAAATTCTGATTAACTTTTATACTTCTAGAGTAGATATTAATAGAGAGTTAGACAAGCTGATTGAAAGCTTTGATTGGCCATAGCTATATTCAGAAATTGTACGGTAGAATTAATCAGACTCAAAGCGTATTCAAATTTGTATTTTTCAATTTAATCCAAATGTACTTATGTTGAAGAGCTTGAAGTGCATCACAATTCTCTAAAAATACATGGCACAGAAATACAAGTATAAAAATTCTTATAGAAAGTCTTAGGGCCCCGCACCAGACGGACAGTATAAAACAAAACGCGGCGATGAGAGCTCTTTGGATCGTTTGTGTGCTAGTGGGTCTTAGTTTTCACTGCTGTCTGGGGAAGAAGACGCCTAAGTTTGAGCGAAGGGTAATGAAGACAAGGCCTTGACTTGGAAGCGCAAATACCAAAATAAATATCACATTTGCAGAACACTAAACAGCTGCAGGGCGCCCATAATGATCCGACAATATCTAGGTATGCATTGCAAATCTTTTCCCTGCTTTTATCGCCATCTATTTGTTTGAAAGGCTGAAAGAGGAGCTGGCAGCATTGAATTCTGTGGCGATTGACTATATTGTCGAGAAGAAATTTGGTGAGAGACTGCAGGATATCAACATTGCTGACGTCATTTCCACTCTAATCGAAACTAATGCCACCGGTTTGCTGAAGAGCTTCCCCGCCTCGTGTCCCCGATTTGCCGGTGCGGATGGCATCTACACCATAAAACTGTCCGACTTGGAGCAATTCGAGGTTTTGTGCAACGCGCAAATCGCGGGAGCCGGCTGGTTGGTAATTCATCAGCGCATTGATGGCCAACTGAACTTCTTCCGCAACTGGACAGAGCACCAGCTGGGCTTTGGTGATCTCGCCGGTGAGTTCTCCATGGGTCTGGACCATGTGCATGCAATAACTGCATCGCAGCCCCATGCGCTTTATGTGCACCTCGAGGACTTTGAGGGCCAGACCCGATATGCGAGCTATGACGAGTTTGAGATTGGCAGCGAAGCAGAGTCATATGCGCTGAAGAAGTTGGGCACCTTCTCTGGAAATGCTGGGGACGCGCTTGCCTATTCGCGGAACACAAGGTTTACCACCTACGATAGGGATAATGACGAGAGTAGTGATAATTGCGCCATTTCCCACATGGGCGGCTGGTGGTACAAAAATTGCATGCACAGGTAGGTAGGTCAGTAAATGCAATTAATTCTCCAACTGACTACAGTGTTCTTCCTGTTCCAGTAATCTAAACGGACTCTACTTGCATGGCAATTACGAGTACGCCAGTAAATTGACAACTAAGGGCATTTACTGGTACCAGTGGCGCAGTACTGCCTACTCCTACAGATTGGTTCGCATGATGATACGTCCGATCAACAAATGTCTATAGTATCTGGGAAAAACTCCTCCAGTAATTGGAGTAGTTTATTATCAATTTATCAGTTCATATAAAATAACTTTTTCGTTTCAGATTCAGCCTTTATTTTTGAATAGCATGGCGAATTGTACAATAATTAATTACAAATTGATTGAATTTCACGAAAATTTTAAATAAATTTATTTGTATAAGCACGAAAAATTATTTATAAATGTCTTACGCTCTCAAAAGGGAATAGCGCCAAATAACTTCTCTATAGCTTAGTGCACAGTAACTACACTCAAGTCGACTACAAATTTATTTTCGAAACCCTTCGCAGATAAAACTAAACTAATTTATTTTAAAAATGTTGATATAATTATGTTATACTTGTATTTGTAGCGTAAGGGTATATGTGGTTTCTGTAGAGGGTAGCTTCACTTTAGTATTATAGTTTTAGGGTTTTCTAGTTCATGGTTCTAAAGCTTCTTTTAGAAATGAACATAATCAGGTTCAGGAAAAAATAATAACTTTTTCTATAGCTATAAAGCATCCGATGATTGAAATGGAAACATAGATCGTAAAAAGCAGATAATGACAATTATTCATAATCCTTATCCAGTAAATTATAATCTTAATCAATCAAAACAACTTGAAGGATGTTAAACTAATCGATTTGTTTTTAATTAATTCAGCTTATAAGCTACTATATAGTATATGTTTCTTATGAAATGGATTTATTTAAGTTGCATCTAGCTGGGCAGCATTTTCTCAGTTCTAAGTTCTTAGTAACCTTCTGCTAAAAGGAAGACATCATTTCTCTATATTTCCCAATCCATGTACAAAGGGCCAAAGGTAGGAGGGCTTGCCCTACTCAAACATTCTCTGCTTCTTAATCATGAATTTGTTAGTTCTCCCCACCTAAACATTTCTTTGAACATCAACAACTAATTAGCGAGCTCGCACGAAAAACGCGTAATCGAATTACAATTGCCGCCGACAGTTTTTCTATTGCCACAAACACCACCCTCCCGAGTCCCTCCCTATATATTTATTCTATATGTGAACGAACGTCACGTCAACACAGAAGTAATTTTCACACAACTTAACGCCACATATCGTGCATATTAATTATGGGTAAATCTAATTTCGGAAGACATGCGCCCAAGCACCCACTAATATGGTATGCTATGGCCTGGGATGGTAACCGGGAAGGAGGCGTGGCAGTCACGTAACGGAGGCTACACTCCTGGCACGCGTTGCCTTGCCTCAAGTTGAATGTCATTGCTGCTCTTTTCGCCAGGCGCTTCAAATACTTATGCCCCATGTAAGTAAGTAAGTATGTAGGTGCGAGTTGGAGGTGACATCGTGACTCGGCATTGATTATTTCCTATTCCTATTTAGAGTTTTAAAATATATACCAGAAAAATCTAATAAATATTTGACATAATAAACAAATATTACGTATACGTATATGTTTATGAAATTCTACACGTTTGTGTATATTTCTTAAATTATTTATTGCACTATTAGAAAGCACTGGGGATGATAAAAAGGTCTTAAGTCTTATCTGAATGGGTTCTATGCTGCTCTTTTATATACCAGAAAAATCTAATAAGTATTTGATCAATCATATATTACGTATACGTATACTTTTATGAAATTCTACACATTTGTGTATATTTTTAAATTATTTGTTGTATGATTAGAAAGCACTGGGAATGATAAAAATGTTGCACAAATTTCAACACATTTGTTGCTTTTTTTAATTATCTATTATTTAATTAAAAAGCACTGGGAATTATAAAAATGTCTTAAATCGTATCTCAATTCTATGCTGCTCTTTTATATACCAGAAAAATCTAATAATTATTTGATCAATCATATATTACGTATACGTATACTTTTATGAAAAGTGTATTATTATGAAATTCTACACATTTGTGTAAATTTATTTAATTATTTATTTTTAATTCAAATTTCTACCCATTTGTGGATATTTATGTTATTATTTATTATTAAATTAAAAATCATTGGGGATTATAAAAATGTCTTAAGTCTTGTCACAATAATTTCTACGCCAACGGAAAACAATTTGGAACTCTAAAAGCGTTTAGAGAATCCATTATTCGAGAATGGGAAAACTTTGATAAAGGTGTTAAACATCATTTAAAATTCTTTGTGCTCTTTTTTTTAATTTAATATACAAACAAAGAATTTGTCTTAGTTATTTATTTTGTTTGAATATATTTTGTTTAATTTTTTTATTATATTCTCTTAAGTTTTATTTGCTTGAAGTCTATTGACTATTTTTTAACTTTTTTTTTGAACTATATTAAACGTTTCAGTTGTTATAATTTGCAACGTACTGTCCTGTTGAATTATTTCACGCACCTTAAAAACGTCCAAGTTGAAAATAAAACGAGCATATTTTAAATCACATATAATTATTGAAATAAAACGAACCCAAAAAAGGTTTCTGTAATGTTTCGATGGAAACTTCAATATCACTGCCCCATCCCTAGCAGAAATATGTGATATAAGAGACACACACACATACACTCACCAACATGGAGGAGGAGTTTGGGTTTGTTTTATTGTGTTACCTGCCCGAGGTGGACTATGCCAAATATTTATAGGTAAGCATGCCAAGATTTACTACGCAAGGCAAAAAATTCAGCTCAAAAATTACTCATGTGTGCGTTGTTGTTGTTGCTGTCTATGAATTTTCTTCCTGGCCAGCAAGATAAATGAAATGCCGTTGCCCAAAACAAAGGCAAAATTCTTGAATGGGGCATGTTCTTGTTGTTGTTGTTGCCCAAGTATACATACGTACGTATGTGTGTGTGTTTGTGTGTGCAAGAAAAATTGAAGAAAACAAAGCCAAATAAATGAGTAGTAATTAGTGAGCCATCAAATACACATGTTGCCAGCTTTGGTTTACTGTTGTTCTGCGGCACTCCCCTGCTGCCACTGCCCCGAAGCTCGATTTTAATTTCCCGTTTTCAATCAATATTAATTTATGGTAGCATTCATTTAATTAGTGTTTTCCCCCTTCATGCTTTGCTGGCGTGTCACAAATATACAGGAATTGGGCCAACACTCATTCCTAAATCAAAATGTTTCCTTATCTTTGCTTAGTATTTAAAAAAATTAATTTTCTGTTCTTTATTACTTAAATTTTGGAAGCAGGCTCTAATAAGTATTATAATAGTTGAGTGAGTTTAAGAACTTGTGTTGCGAACTTAGTGACATAGAATCGGATCGCGGGGATCGAATTTACAATGACACGAGGCCTCATTCACTTCGTCTAGGACGTGGGAAATTTCATCGAGGAATTTCTCCAGATTCGCGGGATTGCGGAATATATCGTTATTGATGTTTTTGCTTTTGTCGAGTATTTTCCACTTCATCATACTGGCAATAACATCGCCACAAAAGTCGCGCTTGCTACTCTCCTGACGAGCAAGAACTTCTTTTAGGCGCCATAAACGCCGTCCTGTGGGCAGAGATTGTTATTGAAAAGGACATCAACAAGCGGTTCTTAAGTGACAATAAAAAAAGTCAAACGGAAGCAAAATAGAAGCTAATAGTGAAGGTAAAACGCAGATTGTAGGAAGGAGTTAAACGATAGCTGCGGCTACTAAAGATAAGCGAAGCAATGAGAGAAGAACTATTTACTTTCGGACAATCGCAAATGCGACTTTTTCCCCTCTGCGGTAGCTTCCATCTCTTGTTGAGATTTTTCGTACATCTCTATAATCTTGTACATTCGACGATCCATATCCTTGGACATGCGCAACAGTTCATCGCAGTGCGGCGGACACGGATGCTTCATATTCGGTCCGCCATATGGAACTTTTGTATGGAACCGGGCATTGCTGAACTCCTTACGATTTTCTTCAGTCCGGGCGATTCGCCGATTCATTGCACTGCGTACGCGTTCATTGTGGAAGCGAAAATTCATGCTGGCCAACAACCTCTCCACTCGTGACAGGCAGCTGCGTATTGAACGATTGTGTTTAAGCCCCAATGTGATGGCCCTTCCCACACAAACAACTTACTGTGTGTTGCGTAGCGAATACACTCCAGGTATGGAATAGGTGCGCAGCAGATGGTGCAGCTTGAAAGCCACACAATTGAGCAGGTCCTCGGCAGCACACACCTGAATGCGACGCAGACTGTGCATATCGTGCTGCAACTGCCTCGTGCGCCAGCCACGGAACAGAGCTTGAATCTTTGTGGCCGACCGATTGAAGTGCTCGACGCAGCGTTGCTGCAACAGGTTCTCAACATAGCCGAACCAGTTCTTGCGCACGTAGAATCCCCGCCACCAGCGCTGGATGGTAATGGCCGCCTTCTCCCGAGACCTCCGCTGCTTGCGCGCATAGAAGCCTCGAAAGAGGGCCTGAATGCGTCTGGCGGCTAAAAACTGTTTATAGTCCAAGAGTAGCAGCTCGGTTCTATGATTTGGGGGAGATGGGGAAACTAAGATAATGGAAGAAGTGGCTCCAAACTATGTAAGCTATCTTTACAAATTTTATAAAAAGTCAATTCATAACTAGTAATGAAGCAATCTTCGTCTGCGCAGATCGATAGCTCTAATGATAATGAAAGAAGTGGCTCCGACCTATATATTGTATATCTTTGAAAAGTTTATAAAAAGTGAATTCATAACTGGTAAAAAAGTAATCTTCATCTGCGCAGATCGATAGCTCTAACGATAATAAAAGAAGTGGCTCCGACCTATATATATCTTTGAAAAGTTTATAAAAAGTCAATCCATAACTGATTAAGAAGCAATCTTCCATAGCTCCTCTAAAGCTGAAGAAGGAGTAGTTTTGGAGCAGTTTTTGAGAAAGATAGAGATAAAGATACAGAGAGAGAGAGAGAGAGAGTAAGTTCAAGTGGAAATGTACACACATAAGCGATTTTGTTAGCGGCGAAATATGCATGAGTAATTGACAACAATATTAACAAAATTCTCCAGTGAGGGAAGGAAAGTAGAGCAAATATATTAAAAAGTTGTCCAAGGACCGTATACATAGTGAGTTTTTGTAAATAGGAACTGAGGCGATATTGAAATCCAGGCATTCTTCCAGATGGACGGGCGATTTATAGATCGATATCTCATCATGATTAAGAAAGCCATATATGGCTAGCCAACCAATTCTGTTTTTGCACGGTAGATTGGTTTCAGAAAAAGACGTGTAAAAGAAAAACCGTGCAAAAAAATACATTGATCATATGTTATTTTGAATCTTGGTAAATGGAATAAAGTATTAAATCAAAATCGTGTAAAAAAAGACCGTGTAAAAACAGTATTAGTTGTACATTATACTGCCTGTATATGACGGTTACATACTTTTTTATTATATATTTTATGTATAATATGTATTTATATTACATATTAGATACCTTTCCTAAACCACAGTACTTCAATAACCGGATGGAACGTTATAGTCAAGCCAACCTGACAGTGAAATATTCTTTACTTATTAAAATTTCCTCAGCTGCCCAAATACCGTAACTTCTTACAGATTTCCGGTATACGTTAATTAGCTTTATTTTTTTAATTTATTAATAAATTAAAACCAAAGTACACATTTTGTGACTATTCCGAATGAAACGCTGTCCAAAAGATGTATAGTAAACAAGATAGAACGCTACAGTCGAGCAAGCCCGACAGTAAAATAGCCTGTACTCTCCACAAAAAAGAAAAATTAAAAAAAAAAAATTTTTTTAAAAAAATTAAATTATTAAAAAAAATTAATGAATTAATTAATTAAATTAAATTAGAATATATGTTTATGTTTAGTTTTAACAGCATACATTTACATCACGTACCTATGCGTGTTTATATGCGTGTACGTATGCAGCACAAAGTTGAACCAAAGCAGCAACAACAACAACAGCTGCGGGCAGCGCTGCCGACAGAGGCAGCGCATGAGCAGCGATTTTACTTATGGCTATAACTTTCTTCAGAATTGACCTATCATGATGAAATTTGTCACACGGACACATTAGTACTAACTGGATGTACCTACCAAAATTGATTTCAAAATTCCGAGAATTACGGAAGTTATAAGAAAAAACACGAATTGCGGGGGAGTGGGGGGGTGCATCGAAAAAAAACTCAAACTCGTACTTTCTCGGTCTTAGGAGAATATGGAAACCAAGTTTGGTTATTCTAGCTCTTATACTTTCTGAGATCCTTGCGTTCATACGGACAGACGGACAGACGGACAGACAGACGGACAGACGGACGGACGGACAAGGCTATATCGACTCGGCTTCTCATCCTGATCAAGAATATATATACTTTGTGGGGTCTGCCACGCCTCCTTCTGTGTGTTACATACATGCGCACAAAACTAGTATAGCCTTTCACCCTTTGGGTACAGGCTATAAAAATGCTTAACTAAACAAATATTCAAATGAACAATAATTTCCATTGAATTATAATGCACTGAAAGAAACGTTTGATTTCGAAAAATCTGCTCTACAACGAGCTAACTGATCAGCGACTGTCCCTGTCAAAGGCTGTTTTGAAGATAACACAAGGCATTAGTATTTACATATTGATTTTTAATTTTAGAAGCCAAAAAAAAACACACCAATAAACAAACATGGATTTGTTTTTTGGCACTTTAATAAAATACGTGTAGTTCTTATATACAAAACTCGTCCTCTGTTAACGTTCTTCTTTCTACTTCAGCTATACAAATATTAAACAATCAAAATTATACAAAAATGTGTTAAAACATATTCTGCTGCTTTTGACAAAACTAGCAGCCCATTATTTTATTAATTCTAGCGGAAAGATCAGAAAGAAGCTCTTAACATATTCACAATCTGTGGTAGCGGACATAAGGAACTCTTTACAAAACAGCAGTTTAATTCGCATAAGCCCTATTTTACAGCAGATGTACATAATTGTACATAATATGTCGAGTGCAGTGAGTTGGAATTTGGCTTACCGCGAAAGAGACGGCTCTGAGGTCCGACGGTATAATTCACTTTCCTCCATTTCCCCGAGCATTGCTGAGCTTGTGCTGCTTAGGTTTTTTGATGACCATTAGAAGTCTATTTCAAGCCCATAATTGCTTTGCACTTACGATGTTTGTGCGCTTGTCCTTGTCGACTGACGCCGCGATCCTGCATGCACAGTCTTCTTGTCGCGAAACATGATAGATAACTGATAGTGCCTCGTTTTTGTGAGTTTTTGCTGTTTTTATGTAAAGTTTTTTTTCTTTTATTTTTAGAACAATAAACGTGTAAACGTGTAAATATGTAATTGTGTAATTATCTGTGTTAAATATTCAACATAATGAACGTCAAATATAAGCATATTTTGTAAAAGTAACTTGTATTTCAAGGAATACATGTTCGTTTCTTATTATACAAGTACATAGGAAAAGTATAGAAAAAGTATAGAACATGGTTTAAAAATTAAAAATTCTTTAAAGAAAGTATTTAAAGTAATAATAGTTGCAAAAAATCAGACATTATATGTAGGAAGGAGTAGAAAACAGTCCTGATAGAGCGCTTAAATAGAGAAGACACTGACTGCATTAAATGTACTTGGGCCTTTTATTTAATTTAGTATAGTTTCTATTTTATTTTGGATCGCCATTTAGATCATGTCTGGGATGGCGATGCTTTGAAATGTTTATGTTTATTTTAGTTTCAGGAGCCTAAGGCGATTCTTAAGCTGATAAATTGTTACCTTAATTTTAATAAATATGTATAATGAATAAAGATTTTGTAGTTTTCGTTAGCATGTTAATTCACTTTACAACTGTTTCCTAATTTATGCAATTAGGAAAAAATATAATTATTTTACGAGTTACTTCATCTACAAACATATCGTTATATTTCTTGCCCTTCATCATTTATTTATGTATAATAAAGTCTGTTGCTTAAAAGAAGAGGCGTTTTTTATTTTGCAAATACGAATAAGTTTGTAGAAAATGTTTAAAGAGCTATAGAACTTTTAAATGCCATGCCTTACTAAAGTGCTTTGTGAACTTTAAGGTTTCGCAATTACCTGGGCTCTGATTTTCTTCCTCTTATTTCTTTTGCAGTCCTTTACCTCAGCGCGGCATGCCGTCAAAACCGCATGTGGTAGAATTAACGCCGCTACACGAGCGCAGCGCATAACGGCACATCTAGGCATACATGCAAAGAGACGTGCATATACTACGCATACATGAGGCAAATACGCAATGTGGCAAGTACCGGCACGACGCTCTGGGTGGCGGCGGCATTTCAATTTCTATTCCCTTTAACTTTGGTCGACTACCGGCTGCCGAGTGCCAAGTTCCGACTGCCGCCTGTGCACAAATGTTTATACATTAGCAACATTTGTGCAAATGCGACGCCCAGCCCCGATGCCCCGAAACCCCCCAGCCTGCCTGCCTGCCCTTGTCGCAGGTGCTGATTATATTGAAAATTATTAGTAAAACATTGCTGCAGGCACTGGCGAGACGGAACGAGTCAGTTGAAGCTGCGGCCGAGCCATTCATACTCGTATGTGCTATAAAAATTGATTGCATACTTTGCGGCAAATGTGCGTTTCTGAAGCTAATTTGTGTGTGCGTCTGTGTGTGAGTGTGTTAACCTAGAATACGGCTTGCATTGACTGCTGGCTCCAGCATTAAGGTCGGCAACACCCTCGTTACACCACGCTTAAACTAACTTGCCATCGATGTGTCCAAGTCTGAACTTACACGCGGGTCTTTTTGGTCAGATTTTCGGTCAGTTTTCTTTTGAGCGGTATGTATTGACTTGTATCTTGTATGCATACATGTCTGAAAGAAGGTAAGAGGTTATCGATAAATTGAAGAATGTTTCGTATACTCCATATACATTTTAATAGATCTGGTTTGCAGGCTGAAGAGGTCACACCCTATAAGTAAGTAACTATAAGTTTAAATTAAGTTATAAACATAACAGTATATAGTAATTTAAAACAAAATAACTTCTCTTGCTCGCTTGTCCGCTAAGTTTCTTAATTTATTTCTTTCGTTCTACGAAAAATATTGATTCAAACATTATATTAGAACCATCAGGGGAAATTTACAAGTACACGTAGAAGAAAATCGAAATAAATCGATCATTATTAATGTATTTTTTAAATTATATTTATTTTATTTTATTTTAATAATATAATTTAAATTTTTTATTTCATTTTATTTTTATTTTATTTATTTATCAGCAAACCAAGCTGTCGATGTAAAAATCAATAAAATAGCGAACTTAAAATAAACAATATAAAATATTAAAAATACATGTAAAAATTACAATGGCCAGCTATGCCCCTACAGGGTCCTTGTTCACAAATCAAAATAATAAAACTAGTATACCCTTTCACCCTTTGGGTACAGGGTATAATAAACTCGTATAGCCTAGGGACAAGGAGCGTCTACATACCAAGGCGTTCATTCAGATGGACGGACGGACGGGCGGACAGGCGGACAGGTAGACGGACAAGATCCATTCGTCTCGTCATGCAGACTAAGAATATGTATACATTATGATGGCGGAGATGCCTCCTTCTGCCTGTTAAGTAATTTGCACAAACCTAATATACCCTTTTTCTCTAAAAAAACGACGGCATTTATACAAATAAAGCAACATTTAATTAAAATACTTCAATAACAAACAATAAAAAAATAATTTAAAAACTAAAATGTGTAAAATCACTCACCCGATGCGGGAAGGTTAATTCGCCAATTTCAATTTTGAAAAACCCGATCATTTGTACAACAAATATTTAAAATAATTATATGTCAGAAGATAACATTAATTTATTTTTTCTAAAATTTTAGTATAATTTGCGATTTAAAGAACAAATGATACAATAAGGTTGAAAATGTAGCCTTGGAATAATAGTCTGCGATCAGCTAACATTAATCCTTGAATGCCTTAAATTTGGCTTTTAAATCGCTTAGTAACGATTGGTGTTCACTCAATGGCACCTTAGGAAAGTGTTTTGTCGAACAGTTGCTCAGCGTTTCGTTACTCTGACAATAATTTGAAAATTGATGATGTGCACATAATAAAGTGTCAAATATCAACAGACATCAACGCATCGCAGGGCATGCACAACAGCGCGTCATCATCATCGCCATCATCTCCAAACATCGTTGGCAGCAAGCGCCGTAATGGCTGCGATGAGGAGAAGGACGACGACGACGAGGAGGACGATGGCGACGACAACGAAGACAGCTCCAACTGTGACAGCGAAAAGAATAAATAAAATGTTCGTTGCAAAAAAAAAACACACACAACAACAACAGCAGCAAAATACACGTAAAATAAAAAACTGAAAATGAAAATTGACAAAATTGATTGAGCGTAGCAAGCAGAGCAAAGAACGACACGGCGGCCCTGGGTGTCGAAGCAGCATGGAGAGAAGCTAACGCTTGTCATACGCCGAGCACTTACTTTTAGACATGTGGCAGCAATTGACGTTGGCGCCCCCTGTCGGCCGAGAGCGCAATTTTATTTATCTTCATTTTGTCAAACAATTTTTCACCTTTAAACAATTTTTGCCGCTGTCTTTTTATTGTTTTCCTCTCGAGACGAGCGAGCGCGCATCCTTTTGACAAGCAATTTAATCTAATTTTTTTCTCCTCCCAGCGCTACCTAACATACTACATGCCTATGATGTGTACTGTACCAGATATGCATACATACATAAGAGTTACGTGGGAGTGATTCTTGTTATAACACACATATGCAAATTCGTTGAGAATTTTTTTTTTTTTTTTTTTTGTGTCACCAATTTCGCAGTTCAAGAAATCGCAAATTGAAGGTAAGCACAGGTGTAATGTTTTATTTAAATTCTTGATTTCATTGTGAATAGCTAAATAGAAACGCTGATTGGAATAAGCAATGCATGCAATGCATATTTCTGAAATATAAAATATTTAATTCCTAAGCAGCCACTCCCTACCAAGTATTGGTCATTTTTAAAAACATAAATTGTTTGTTGAAAATATTGATCTCTCTATGCTTTTAGATCATATAAATTTTATGTACCTTCCAGACCAACAAGCAATTTTAATATTTACTCGCAAGTGAGTTCTCTCTCCCCTCGTTAAATTCTTATATTTTCAGCTACCCCCGGCAGAGTCAAGGAACACCTATGCTATGAGTAGGGGCCGGACTGGCTAATAAATGTTCTCCCACCGGGGAATATTTATATTCATATTTTATCATTCATTATTTAGCTATTTAAGTACTAATGAAAACATAAAAAAGGAATCGTATCGACTTGCCAATTATTTATTATATTTGTGCGTTTCATACGTACTACTTTATCGTAAAAATGTTGAAGAGAAATCTTACGCGCTCTTGCTCCTAACAATTAATCTTACTGTGCTCTCTTTGTGCCTTATCCATACAACTCACTCGACTCGCAAATGTTAGAAAAGCTGTTAAACATAAATTTAGTTCTCTTCCTTCTTACAGTGTTTGTCTTTCTGTTATGGCGTCATCTCGTCTGCTTATATCAAGCCCAACTCAGACGATGTTAAAGATCGCTAACAGCTAACCCAACAGTTCATGTAAAACTGTTTTACACACATAAGCGTATGTACATACATATGTAAATGCATGCAATTTTACTGCGTAATTAAACAAATAGAAATTAAAACCAGTCAATACTTACATTCACACACAAATAAAGTATAAATTTTGATATTTATTTAAATATAGGAAACTTCATTATTTAAATCACATAAACAATCACTTAAAAAAACAACAAAAACAGAAACTTGCCACTGCGCAATTGATTTGATGTCACACACGCATACATACATACACATCTACGCATAATTGCACATTATTTAACACATATTATGCACATTTCATACAAAACTAATACATAATTTTACTATTATTTCAAGTATAAACTAAATATTTTCTATTTGTTTTCGGCAACCACAAAGACCGGCGACGCTACGCGCTCCACAAGTCGAGCAAAACTAACCCTTGCCTTGCAGCTGCCATTACAATGCTCTCTTTACGAATGCAAAAGCAAAGATTCAAATCAATGTTAACTGTAAATCCGCTCTCGCGCCTATCATGCATATGGGGCGTACCAAAGATCACAGCAATGGGGATTATATTGTATTTCGACGAAATAAACTAGTTACATTTGAAGGAGAGCGGATAGAGGTTAATGGGCGCAACTCTTAAATACCCTTTAAATACTACTCCTATAAAAATAATGACCAAAAAGAAAAAAACAATATTAAAACTTTGTTTTTGTTTAATTATTAATTTAAATATTAATAATTGTTCAATAAATGTAATTTTAATTGAATTAAATATATGAAATAAAACATTTGTGTTATATATACATACGTGCATTAGAAGAATCAAGGTCCCCACATGAATACTAAGTGTCGTTATATTAGGTCTTGTATTTGCTAAGATCCTTTCGTTTATATCGACTCTGCTTGTCCTACTGATCAGAAAAATAAATACATTAGGAGGCCCAGTCAGCCTCCTAAACTACAGACAAAAGTTGCATAATATTGGTGTGAATGCAATTTCGAATTTTGTTCGAGCAGTTTTATTACAATACAAAAACGAGAATATATCGAAATAGAATAGGTATGTATGTACATATGTATGTGTAGGTTTGGCTAAAAGTCGCAGAGTTATAAATGCATCTGAGCCTATGAGTTCAGCTTGGGTTACGCATCTGGATGTAATAGCATCGATTAAATAATTTTAAATTATTATTATTTTAAGTGCATACTTTTTTATTTATTGCTCTTTCCTCATCTCCAATTCTTTTTTGTTGCGTTTCATAACGTTTCTGATAGCTTTCGGCTTTGAATCAGGGCACATCTGGCCGTTTGACAAGTATTATTCCCAAACCGTGTTGGATTCGTTATTAGGCCTTTTTATTTCTTTAGTTTAAGTCTCTAATGTATTTATAGTTTTATTCGTCACATCAACAGCTTTGTTTCTCAATGAAATACATTTAATAACATTGAGGAAAATGCAATTAAGTAGTCAATTGAATGCCCTCTTTTTGAAGTGTTTCAGTAATCCAGGGCATAAACATCACCACCCTGGTATACAGTCCAGGTAGAGTTTTGCCCTTGCAGCCTTTTATATCTTCGGCGGCTATGCCATATTGAAAGTATTGTTTGGAGGCACCTGCTGTGGCACAAGCCAGTGGAGCACCGTCATCTGAGGTGCATGCATCCATTTCGTTCTCACCACCGGCGCAAATAAATTGGTCGTCAAGATTCAATATTCCATTAAGCCTCTCCTCACACTTTGGCCGATCTACAATACTTACTTTGATTTTTTTCAATATCTCTTCCGATTCTAAGCTATTGGCAGTTTTTTTGCCCCAGCCGGTTAAGTAACAGTCCTTCGGGGATGTATGTGTATTTGCAGTTGGCAAGCAGATGGGAGATATATGCACATTGAAGTCGAAAGGTGTCTCCATAATGAGCAGAGCAATATCGCTCTTATTGCCTTTGAAATCATAGCTTTTGGGCTTATGAAAAGCTTTTATAGAACGTTCTTGTGTTGTGTAAGGCACGTTCGGGTATGTTTCATATATTGACCAAGCTCCAGCTGTAACCAAAGTACTCTGAGCCATTTCATGGGCAACAGTTAGTACGACACTGGCAGCGATAAGTGTGCCGCTACCAATATATGACCTAAGCTTAAGACTGTTGTCCTCTAATATTGTTTCCTCGAAAATCTGGACCATCCAAGGGAACTCGCCGAAATGCGCTTGGTGCTGTTGGGGCGTTACACCTTTAGCCACGCCCATTGGGTTTCGATAACCACATTGCACGATTGCATCTGACTTGGGTTGTTCCTATGAAAAAAAAAAAAATTAAAAGTCGGTTCATAATTCGAGCCTTAAAGTCCTAAGTGCTTGCTTACATTAGTTGAGTTGTCAATGCGACAGCAGACTAGTCCGTCCGGGCACAAAGATCGAAGGCTAATTATATTGATAGCATGTTTATCAAAATTTGAATTGACACACATCTTCTTATCGACACACTTCTCGTTCTCGCCGCAACTAATGCCTGTGATGGGAGCAGGCGTTTGTTCCGGATTTTGTTCCGGCGTTTGTTCCGGCGTTTGTTCCGGACTTTTTTCAGGGGACGGGTTCCAAAATAGTTTGCTCTTGGCCTTGTCTGGTCGCAAGGTGTGCGAAAATGTCGGTACCTTACTCATGATAAGTTCATAGACTTCGTCTGCCAGTTGTTCATAAAGTGAAGAAATTAGGTTCTCCAATTCCTCTTCTTGCTCTTCTGTTGCATTCGGAAAAATATTGTTGATATCCAGTTCTTGAGTTACTCGCCGGTCGTTTGGAGCAGGTTGTGTTTTTGTAAATTGAATTACGAGACCGCCCGCTACCAGAACAACTGAACAAAGCAGTACACCCACTGGTATGGTGACAAGGCTCTTCATAATGTTAGACGCACCTGAATCTGAAGTTTTTAAATGTACAAAATTATATTTTCACATTCTTTTAATATTTGTAACTAAACAATAAAGGAAGGCTTGTACACATGTGTGAAAACTTTTGAATCCTAAACTGAATTTAAGAATTTTTTAGATATTTTAAAAATAATCGAACCATCGTTTTAGCTCTCAATGGAACGGCGGGCACTATTTTATAACTGAAAAATAAATTTTGTTGGTGATAAGGACATTGGGCTTCATTAAAAAAGGCAGCAGGCTTCAAAATGTTTTAATTGATACCCGACTGGGAAGTACTTGAAAAAGTGTTCAAATGAGAAACTATTTTACATATTCTTCTTTATTATTGTTATTCTTAGAGATTTTCCATAACTAAGCGAGAAACTGAAGCTTTGTGGGGACTCGTGTATGTTTATTTCAAAGTAAAAGTCTTCCTGTTTGGTAATTATAGAAAAAATCGCCGTCCCAGCTTAGAATGTTTTAGCTTAGGTTTCCAAATTTCGGTTTCGAAGTGGGGTATATTTTATAAAAACAGTACTTGTTAATGCCAAATTGAACTTCAATATTCAAATCTCCACTGCTGTAAAAAAGCGCATTATTTAAAGAAAACTTCTATACACTTCCGCAGTACAAAACGCCTTTGCTAGCCACCTTACTCAAACAGGCTTTTGCTTATAAAACTTGATCATACTCGTATATATTTTATAATTATTTTAATTTATTTTATTCCATACTCGTATATTTATATTTTTTGTTTTCTTTCACATAATACCTTTTATAAAATTTATATTAATATGTCCGCGTGAAATTTGTACGTTTGGACTTCATAGTAGAAACTTAAAAACTGAAATTGTTGTTCTTAAAGCAAATGCTTTCATCGTTGGGAGAATTTTTAAGCACTCAGTGCCGCTGGAAGCTTGATAAATCACTAAATATGCGGGCTCACATACATAGGCAATAAATGCAAATATGCCAACTAGAGATAGAGCGGTTTCTGCACAGATTAAGGGGGAATACTTCGTAAGTCCCATCGCCCAGAAAGGCGTATTTTATGTACTTTGCATACTTTTCCCGATCGGATTCTTAACAGTGCGTTTTTTGTTTGGATTCTCTATTGACAAGCAATAATATGGCAGCAAATTTGCTTCAAATTACATAAATAAAACCAGAACTAAAATCAAGTAACCCCTCTTCAATGATCAACATTATACCATTTGGCCTTAGGCGTCTACACATTCCATTTCAAGGCCGCACAGTAAGTTTTTAGTATATTTTCCCTAGCCATTATTTTGGTTCAAATCGTATTTCAGATTAATATTTATTAGGTCTCACTCTTATGTATGTTTTAAGCTAAGCTTAATCGCAATATATTTCTATAAGCACTGATAACAGTTAGACATTCAAACAGCTCAAGAGAAGATGAATTGTAAAGTGGTTTCTCATTCACTGAAATCTGGAGAGCAGAGTTTTCTCTCCTTTGCCGAACGAGGCGTATAATCATTAGACGAAATTTCATTCGGACAGCTTTTGAACAGTCAGAATTATTTTTTGGTGACAGGCAGGCGGAATGTTTATTTTAAATCGCGTCATTGTATAATTCAAAGCAGCGACAGAAGAAGCAGAGAACAAAATTTACAAAAAATTTGGCACTTTTAAAATATACGTATAGAGTGAAATACTATATATGAAGAAGGAAAAATGCTCTCCAAATGTACTAAGGGTAGTAGCGTTTGCTGAATATAGAAAGATGCTAGTGGAAGGAAAAAACGTTGTTCAAGTCGACCAAGAACCCATATATAGACTGGCTTAACCTTACCTTCACAAATATATAGTATAAGAACTAGTATAAGAACTAGTTTCTTACAAGTTTTATTTCACATCTATTATTTTAGATCTATAGTATGTAACATGTTTTCAATATTTTATTTTCGCTGGCCTTCCATCTGCCAAGTGTATGAGAGTTCGCTATTTCAACAGACCGATCTCTCCGTATCACTGCAAGAAAGTAATGCTGAATCCAAAAACAAAAGATGACCATTTTCTCACCTGTTTGGGAATTGTGCAGCATTTTTTCATCGCACTAGAATCACATATCTCACTCTGACGAAAATCAATCAATCCTTCTCCATATTCGTTGATCACACCATTCACACAATTAGTCCTAGGTACACATTTTTCGTTGCGTTTACAAATTTGAATCGTAGTTGAGCCCTCATTTGTAACTGGCTTGGCTCCAATTTCTGGGTTCGCATTCAATGGTTTATTTGAATCTTTACATTGCGCTTTGTTGGAATATACATGTTCTTTTAATGATTTTGATTGGCCCTCGAGTATTATTTTCAACAGTGGATCAAAAACATCAACAATGGTGTTCTCTATTTCCTGCATTTTATTGCCAAGCAACGGAGAATACTTTTGGAGGGATTTATTTAAGTTACGTTTAAGTATATCGACAAAGGATACTCGAATATCGTCATAATTTTTGGTTATATTGCTTTTAATATTGTTTACATCATTATTTCCTTCAATAATGTCCTGTTCTGATATCACAGGAATGGCATCTTCGTAATCTGCAACATCAGCATCTTGACTTTCTGAACTGGTATTAAAATGGGGATTAAAATCAGAATTAAGAATAGCATCTAAATTGTATCCCAGAGTCGACACAACGAATGAAATTAAAATAAGTGCTGAAATAGCGTGCATTTTCCTTTCCTGCAAAACAAATTGATGCAACTTTCATTAAGTATTATCATTAATATTGTTTTTCAAAAGCACTTTTTAGAAGCTCTGTCATGCTGTATGCCTTTTTATAAAATGGCTTAAATATTTAGTTAAAGCACACATGAGCAAAATCACAATCCTGCACGAAAATAACGTTTAAATAAAGTTCATTAAATACGCATTAAATATGCTTGTATTTGGTTTAATGTGTATTATTCTTATTAATATTAACCTGTTGTCGAAAGACCGATCCACTCAATAATCTACACTGAAGTGATTAGACACTGAGCATTCATTTAAATAGCGACAGAAGCGAAAAGATCGAATGTGTAATTGCTGCTGTTCTGCGTTATCTGAAGAGAGAACATTTGAAATATTTTATTTTATTCTATAAAGCATTAGGGACATAGGTTTTGAATGTTCAATTCATTTATAATGTTAACTACTATTCAAGGTCTAAGCCATTTATATTATCGGAGCCGTTTTATTTAATTTTGTTGTGGTGGGCCGTCGCTGTGGATATATTGTATAGTATGTATCTTTAATTCCAAAATTTAAGATTATCGTAGAGCAGTGACTTATGTTTTTCACTTTAGTATATTAACTAACTCTACATTACAGAGTGATACTCATGGCTAGCTTATTTACTAGGAGAGAGGCAGCGGACGCAGGCAACGCTCTGTTAGCTAACAGCTGTAAGCAACAGCCGCAGCTAACAGAGCGTAAACACATTTCTTTGCTTCGCACTATACATATGTACATACATATATTTCATATTAATGTTCCTTAACACAAGTGCTTATCAATTAAAATAATACAAATAAACTCTATTAAATACGCCACTCAGCTATTTGCAATTACATATATAAATCATCATAAATTCAAATTCGCGTTCGCTTCCGTTGCTTGTGCATTAAGCTGTTGAAATTATTTCAGTAGCGAATGGTGGCTGAAGGTAATAGACGTTTTTAAAGTCTATAATAAAGAAATTTGAAAAAATTGAAAAAAAAAAAAAATAATTTGACCGAAATGTTTAAAAGAAAATCAAAGAAATATACCCATTTATAATTACTTATTACAAAGTCTTCGACTGCCATTTAATAGGTATGATTCGAAAACGAATCTGTTAATCGTTACACAAGCAATTAAACTAAAGTTTTATTTTCAGCTTGTCATAATGCAGCATTTTATATGGCTAGCAATCTTTTGCACTTTTATGATGGCAGCCTGCCAGCATATAAATCCTTTGCATTATAAGACACAGGACGCAACAGGAATGCGTCGAGATAGCACTGAGTTTGGTAATAATGCTGAAACAGTTGAACCAATTAGGAAATCATGGAATATAATAAACACAAATACTGTGTTGGGAAAAGATTTGGACGTTTTAGAAGCAGAACTGCGACGAGAATTAATGAGCGGCTTTGAAAACGAACTCAACTCTGTACTCGGAAAGTTTTTCCAACAACTAGCCGCCCGTAATGCCAATTGCAATAATAATGCCGATGCATCCTCCCATGCTTTTGAAACAAATCAAGCCGCAAGTACATTGGGACTTAAAACTGTAGACATTATTCCACAAATTGTACAAAATAGCTCAATAGATGGCGAAAATATTCGTGTATCCTGCGGCATTGGGGAAGAGTGTGTGCCGGAACGGCTATGCTCCAATCAGAATGTGGCTGATGATCATAAAAATACCAACTGTGCTGCTTCTCAGGTCTGCTGCCTGACAGAAAATAAGGTAAGATAGTGATTTAAATATTCTCTGTCTAACTAACATTTGTTCCGTTCAGATTAACGAAACAGCCACTTTAGTTTTGAGTCCACCAGCTACGGATAACAGATGTGGCCAACGCAACGCTGAGGGACTTCCAGGTACAACCACCACTAGTGGAACTAACGAAGCGAAGTTTGGTGAATTTCCGTGGATAATAGCCGTTATGAAACGTAAATTCTACGGCACTGAGTTTCCTAACGATACGTATATCGGTGCTGGTTCTTTGATATCGTCCAACGTTGTTCTAACCGCTGCCCATATTGTTTTCGATAAATCTATCGATGATTTATTTGTTAGAGCTGGTGCATTGGAATTTAAAACATTTAGCTATAACTATCCCTACGAGAATCGTTATATAAGTGAAAAAATTGTGCATGAGAGTTTCACAGGCGTCAATAATATTGCTCTACTAATTTTGTCGTTTCCGTTTCCATTGGCCGTGCATATTCAGCCAATTTGCTTGCCAAGTTCCGAGAACACATTCGAAGCTACTGGCTGCTTCCTCAGTGGTTGGGGGATTAGTTCCCACGACGGTAGCTCAGATATCAAGCAACTGAAGAAAGTAGAACATTCAACAATAGAGAGACAAAGGTGTGAGAATATGTTGAGAAAAACGCGACTGGGACCATACTTTCGACTACATATTAGTTTTATGTGCGCTATTGGTGAGAAAGGTTTGGGCTCTTGCAAAGGCGATGGAGGAGCTCCTCTAGTATGCCCAATCGTAGGTTCGATCTCTCGCTATCAGCAAGTGGGCGTAGCCTCTTGGGGCATCGGCTGTGGCGAAGAGAATGTGCCTGACGTTTATGCTAGAGTGGATTTTGCCAGAAATTGGATTGATGATAATCTTAAATTGAGACATATTGAATTATGCGATTGCTAAAAAACAATAGGCCACTATACATCATTGTTTTGATGCTATTTTATAAAATAACCTTCTATATTGTAATAAACCTTGTGGATAAGCTTCAATTTAATATATTTTGCATTTAAAATAAAGGAACCAATATGAAAAAAAACAGAATCATTTTCAAAAGAATAAGGGCTTACTAGACACTTTCACAGCCTTCAGAAATCGAATGTTGTAGAATTTAAAGTATAACGCACCAACACCATTTTTATGAAGAGATTTTATTACGCCCGACTGCTTTTTAATTATAAAGTAATTTTGCTTTATTAATTCTTCAAACACATAAGAACTCATCCCAATCGAGTGAATGATTGCCTCAAATTAAATGTAAATTGTTCGTCATTAGCATCAAAATCTGCTGTAGCACAACATAATGTTATTCGGCTGTGGCTGCAGCGCTTTCTTGCTCGAATTAACATTGTAAATTGACAGCGTTCTTGCTTTCATTACAGCTGCTGATCTGCTAATGCAGTTGAAGTGTTAGTGCCTTGCCTTCGTCAAATTCCAGATTAGAAGAGTTTGTTGCTCTCAACATAATGTAATTCGGCTGCGTCTGCAGCGCTCTCTTGCTTTCATTAACATTGTAAATTGACAGCGTTCTTGCTCTCATTACAGCTGCTGATCTGCGAATGCAGCTGCAGTGTTAGGGCATTGCGTTCGCAAATTTTAGATAAGAAGAGTTTGTTGCTCACCAACATTTGAATATGAAATAATACCAATCGAGTTAATATTTGCCTTAAATTTGTAATAGCACAACATAATGTTATTTGGCTGCGCCTGCAGCGCTCTCTTGCTCTCATTAACATTGTATATTGAAAGCGTTCTTGCTCTCATTACAGCTGCTGATCTGCTAATGCAGTTGAAGTGTTAGTGCCTTGCCTTCGTCAAATTCCAGATTAGAAGAGTTTGTTGCTCTCAACATATTGTAATTCGGCTGCGTCTGCAGCGCTCTCTTGCTTTCATTAACATTGTAATTTCACAGCGTTCTTGCTCTCATTACAGCTGCTGATCTGCAAATGCAGCTGCAGTGTAAGAGCCTTGCATTCGTCAAAGCTAGTCTAAAAGTTTTGCCCACTCGCGCAGCGCAGTTATTGTTGCTCTCTTTGCTCTCGCTTTTTGTTGTTTTTAGCGAAGCAAGACAGTTGGCCAGAGGCAAAGCCATAATGTAGTAGCTGCCGGTGGAGATCAACAATCAATAATTATAACGTTATTGTAGATAGTCAAATTGTTTTATTTGTGGTAAGTAAGCCTTCTTATTTACTACCTTTATTTGTGTTTTGCTGATCTAAAAATATTTATTATGATGATATAAATGCTATTACTTGTATTGATTAAACTGTTTGACAATCAAAAACTACAAATGCTTTAGGCATCCATAATATTGGGACTAGGTTTTATTAAATTATAAATATTCACATGTTTATGGGTTAAACACAAAACTTATCTCTGCTGATTTCATTTAAGAAAATTCAGCTCAAAATACAGTCATTTCTCATATGAACAATTTTCTATTTTCAAAGATATCCTCGCCCAAGTTAACTATTTTGAATTTCTGTTTTAAGTTTGAAGCTTTAATTGAAGCTTGCTTTTATTTTGTATATAGACATATAAGAATAATTTTTAGTAACAGAAACATTTGTGTGTGTATGTTGGCGATGCATTGTAATAACAATAATAAAAACTCAAGTGGCAATTGGCAGAGAATGCGCCTAACTGCTTACAGCCCGTGCCAGTGTGGGTGCCAGTGCCCCAGACAATGTCGGCATATGCGGCAAAAGTGGCCATTTAATTACCAACAGTAGAAGAAAGTGTCTGTCATTAGACACAAATATCAATGACACTCATATGTGCACTCAAGTGTTGTTGCCACTGTTACTTTTGCGAAACAGCCCTCTTGCGCCCTCCCCTCGGCGGGTGAGAGTATGAGAGGGTGTGTTGCTTATTGCTTGAGTTTTACGATGGCTAATTGCTAACCAACATTAGGCAAATGTGTTGCTGAACTTGGTCTCAGAAAAGAAATGGAGGAAACAGGCGAAAAGAATTTGCCATGGCTGGGCCAATTAGTGCCAAATGACTTGATTTGTGGGAATGTGGCGATTGGTTTGGGCCTGGATTTGAATTATTTAACGCATTTAACTTTCTCATCCCTTTCTCATCCAAGGAATAGCATCAGGGCATGGACAAATTGGTCAAGAGCTCAGTATTCATTTCGTATGTATGTTAACCTTAAATCAATTTTTCTTTCCATTTTTTTTAGAGTATACATTTAGAAAATGAAGAAGAGCATATGTGTTTATATTTACGAATTTAAGTTAAATTGTGGAAAGTGTTCGATTTTGTTTGGTTTATGTTTCAAAAATATTTCCAAAATATGAAGATTTGTTTTTTCTTTTTGTAGCAAGATGTGTAAAGAAGCAGTTGATCTATTTATTTTCCAATTTCTAATTCGATTAAATGCTTTTTAGTCTAATACTTGTGTTATCGATGTATGAACGGAACAACTATTTTCCAGCTATTCTTGGACACAATTTGGAATAAAATGGTTGTTACATTGTATTTCTATCATTTATATAAATGGTTTTTCTTACAACTTATACTTATAGTATACAACATACTTGTATTAGTATCAACGAAAACAAAATAGGGGTCGAAACATTATATAAATTAAATAAAACTTGTAGAATTCAATAAATACAATCCGAAAAGTATAAAGGTTTCCTTATACTAAAATATCTACAGTAGCTGCTAAAATAAATGGTCAGGATTAGCTGTACTGTACAAAAAGGCTTTTCACAGCTTTCAGAACCCTCTGAATATCGCACAAATCATTTAAGAATATGCGTTGAAAAATGTTTCAACTTTTACACCGAGGCTGATTGCACTTATAACTCGACATTGTAAAGCATTAAGCGAGAAACTTTATTTAAAAAATGTGGCAATGATGAATGCGCAAAGGACCACCACACAGGACGCCTGGCCAGCCAGCCACACAGCTCGCTGCAGTTCGAGCAGACGTTTTCTAATAAACACTAAGTTGACATGAAATACATGCCAAGCAAATGAAGCAAATGCATTTGGTACGCTCGCCAGGATGTCTGGACTGAAGCAAGGGCCCTCCACACCGCCCCTCACCTCCCAACTCACTCTCCCAAACATATTTCTCGGCTTGCACAAGCCTTAGCGGCTTGCACCGCAGGATATGTTTACAAATTGAAAAATATAGCATGCGACCGTACTAAAGAGCCACAGTTGGGGGCGCAGCATTAGCCAGCACAGTGAATCAAACGTTAGAAGAAAATCAACAAATTATAGGTAGTATCCACTAAAAACTTTCATTTTCATAGATCTAGCTTTTCTCTAAAAATTGGCTATAAGTTGCATAAATGTTTGCAGCTTCCAGTAATTCGATTACAAAATGCGACCCTTTAATAAATTAAGTAAGAATGTTATCAAAATTCAGTAAACGAGGTGAAGCAAGATTTTTAATTAAACCAATAATGCAATTATTGTGCTAGACTAGCAAAAATGCACACTTATAGTATATGAAAACCTTGGATGAAATGTTTTTAATGCACATGGGGAAAGAAAATAGATTAAGGCGTGGATTATGGATGGTCAAAAGCATCTTCTGCACTCGCCTAGACTTGGAAAGGATGTTAATCAATAGCTGGCTATTTCTTACTGCTGTGAGTCGGGGCTTGGCTTGCCGGACCGGCTTTCAAATTTTCCCCCACCGGGTTGGAGATTTCCCTATTACTCTATCTCTTTATGCTTAATTAGTTGTTAAGTAGAATTACTTTTCCTTCTGTAATTATATAGCCTGTTAGGTCATATGTCTTTGATTCGGGGCATAGCTGGCCAAATGGCCATATTTCTTTTTATTTTATAATATTATATGATAATATAAATCATATTCTTCGTATTCATATCGACAGCACTATTTGTTGGTTTTCGAAATAAAAAAATAAAAAAATAAATAAATCGCCTGTATGAAAAGGGAAATGAATTGTTTATAGAAAGGAATAGTTAGTCTCTAACTGAATAGATAAGCGACATGCTGCATCCTTTTTTTCCATCATTCATATTGGTATTATTCCATTAAGCGTGTTCTCTTTTCGTTCTTTGTCTGTCTTTATTTATCCGTAATGCAATATATAGGCGATAAGTTGTTCGCTTTTACAGAAATAAAACGGAATTGCACATTTCTGCAGACTTGTTGGCATATATATTTTATCGTTTATAAATTATATTGTTAGATAATGACTTTGTATCACTAAAATATGCCCTTTTCCTTTAATATTAGTAATATAATATCATATGGCCAGTGACTGACGAACAGTTTCTAGATCCACATATATCTGACTTGTTAACAAATCTATAAAAGCCGCTTCGCAAAAAAGCGCCAATCTAAAAAAAAAGTGCCACTGTGCATCTAAGGGTCAGTTCGTGCCGCTCGGCATTTGCACAGACGTGACGCTGCTTTTAGAATGTGCAATTCTATATATTTATATATATATCTAGCAGTCTACATTAAAAAATATATATATTTTGTGCAACAGAGAGAAGGTGGAGCAGCGCAAATCTGACGCGAAACATTGGCCTGACAAGTAAATTGTGCGCCCGGGCGAAGGCGGTCGGTGACAGACGAGTGGTATGCAAAATAATTATGCTCGAATCATAATAATGAAGCACAGAGAGCGCATAAATGAAAAAATGTTGAAACATAGTGCAGCCGACTTTATTATACTCTGTACTTCACTCGCAAGCACATTTAATAAGAAAAGCTCATTGCTAGTCTTGGCTTTCTAGATGAAGAAGTACTTTATGCATAGATCGAAATAATTGCAAATTTGTCACTTGCGTTTGATCTGCAAAACACAGCCAATCGTATATTCACATAATATTTGAATGTATTTTTCCAGAGTATTGCAGTCAAAGGGTCCTGCTACATACGAGTGCAACAGAACGCTTTC